GAGTCTGCTATGGGCTCCTGATGGTTTTTCTTTGGCCAGTTGTGGGCTTGAACTCTGGTCCTGGGCGCTGCCCCTCAGCTCTTCAGCTCAAGGCTGGCACCCTACCATTTGAACCACAGTACCACTTCTGGCCCTTTCTGCTTATGTGGTGCTGAGGAATCAGATCTAGGGCCTCATACCCAAGACAAGCACTCTACTGCTGAGCCACCTTACAAGCCTGAGCTCCTGACTATTATCAGGTGCTGGCGGCCTGTGTTGTCCAATTCCAGCCTAGAATATATGGGTCGGGTTCTGGTGGGGTTTGGGCTTCTCTTGTCCTGAGCCCCCGGGTCTTTTGCTGTCACAGGCGTGCTTCCTAGAGGGTGCAGTTCCCTGTTTCCCCTCCCCCTCTGCTGAGGTGTATGCTCAGCTTCTGACTTCAGTTGGGAGGAGTTGGTTGTGTTGCTCTGGCGCTGGATCCCCAGGCCTGGTCTCGGCCCCCCCGCCTGGGGCACACCGGTTGGGCCTGTGCTGCTGTGTATACCGCCTAGGTTATGCAGCCTGGGGTACACAGGTGTCTTGACCTAGGGGCACTGTTCCTGGCTTGGGCGTTTAAGCTCCCTTCCAGGGACACTTTTGTTCTAGCCTGGCCAGCTGAGTGTGCTCCGCGGGCTGGTGGAGCTCTGGAACAGTTCCCAGTTTTAGTGGGGCCTGTGGTCCAGGTATTGGAGTAGGGAGTCTGAGTCAGGGTCTGGGGATTCCCACTAGCTCTGGTCTTCCTTGAGGGATATACTGTCCCTTGCGGGTTACTCTCCCTGGAGCTAGTTGTTTCTGTGTAATATAGGTTGTCGGATGCCGTTGCAATCAGAATTCAGTTGGGGTGGTTGCGGGCTGGGCTGAGCTGTGGTGGCTCTGTGTGATTCTCTTCTGTCTCTGCCTCAGTTGATGCTGTCGGTACTGGCGAGGTGGGCCTTCGGCCTCTGCCCGAGGGATGGGGGCGGGGCCTCCGTGCAGGTTCAGAGCGCTGGGGTTTGTGTCTATGCTCTCAGGATCAGCACTAGTTCCCTGAAGGTCTTCTGCTCTGGTATTCTGTGGGTGCCCCGTGTAGCTCTGGGGCTCCCGCTGGGGGGCCGAGTTCCTGGCTGGGAGGTTTCTCCGTCGCGATCGGTGGGTCTGACACAGGTACCTCAGGCAGCTTTTGCGCGGGTGATCTGCAAACAGCCCTATGTGCCTCTGGGACTCCGGCAGCCTCCGTGCAGGTTCTGAGCACTGGGGTTTGTCTCTGTTTGCACTCTCCGGACCCGTGCCAGTTCCTTGCAGGTCTTCTGCTCTGGTGTTCTGTGGGTATCCCGTGTAGCTCTGGGGTTCCCTCCGTGGGGTCGAGTGGCTTTGGCAGGATGGAGCCTCTCTGCTTAGATGGAGAGTGAGTGGTGGGGGTGGCATCTTTGCACAGACTCCCGGCTCGGAGGGAGGTTTCTCTGTTCGACTTGATCAGCGGGTCTGACACCGGTACCTCAGGCGGCTTCTGCGTGGGTGATCTGCAGGCAGCCCCCTGTGTCTCTGGGACTCTGGCAGCCCCCACTGGGCAGGCTGGCTACTGCCGGCAGCCAGTGAAGGTTGGGGGAGGGGTCCTCGCACTTCTCTGTTCTGAAATTCTTCTTTTTCTCTTTTTCTTTTTTGTTTTTTTCCCACCTCCTGTTTTTCTCTGGGTGTTCGTCTTTTTGTTGTTGTCGGTCTCTTGGGGAGATTAAGCGTTGGAACTCAAACTCTCTTTTTGGTTGGGGAGAGCTATGGCGTTTCCCTACTGCCCCGTCGCCATCTTGGTCCCCTCTCCCTTCCTTCCTTCTTGATAGCACTATGGTTTAACTCATGTCCTAGTATTTGCTAGGCATGCACTATACTTCTGAGGCATGTTTCAGTGGTTTATTTTTATGCTAACTTCTCATTAACACCTAGGTCTTGGGTGGCTCAGAATAGTGCCTGAGCCACACTCTGTTACATTCAGCTTCTCAGAGTTGATAGGATCATAGGTGCACAGCCCCAGGTCCAGCTTCCCTGCACTGAGAGTCTCAAGGACTTTAATTTTTGTCTTTGATCACTGATTATCTTCAACCTGTTCCATTCTATTAAGGCTTTCAACTGAGGGTTTTTGTTTTGTTTTTGTGCCAGTACTAGGGCTTGAACTTAGTTAGGATCTGGGAGCTGCCCCTTAGATTTTTCACTCATGGCTGGCAATCTACCAATTGAGCCATGCCTCTACTTCTGGCTTTTTGGTGGGTAATTTCAGATAGGAGTCTCATGGACTTTCATGCTTGGCTGGTTTGAGTTGCAGTCCTCAGATCTTAGCTTCCCGACTATCTAGAATTACAAGTGTGAGCTGACTTACTGAACTTTTTATTCCCACTTTATTTTCCTTCAAAATTTCTATGCCCTTATTGAATTCCTCCATTGCTTGCATTGTCTCCCTTATTTCATTCAACTGTTTATTTTGGTTTTCTTTGAGTTCATTCAGATGTCTATTTGAATTCTCTTTGAGTTCATTTAGCTTTTTATGTACTCTGAAGTTATTCAGCTGCTTATACATGTAGGCTTTATTCATCATTCTTACTGTACTTTTGAGTTCATTGCTTAAAGTTTCATCTTTGCTGTTGTTCAAGTCCTCTACTGGAATGGTTGAACTTAAGAAGAGATATGCTGCCTTGTTTGCTCATATTACTTGTGCTTCTCCATTAGTATTTATACATCTGAGGCCAAGTCATTGTTTGGAAGCTTTAATTGCCTCGTAGTCTTTCCGTTGAAATAATCTAAATACTCAGGAGGACTGTGTAGTATCCAGGTTGGGTGGTATTTCTTACCACTGGACTGGCTGTGTGTGGCTCAGTCACCAAGCATTTGCCTCATGCTCAGGGCGTCAGCACTGGTCAGATGGAGGTAAACTAACTGGAGTCACTATGGTCTTTTCCATTTCTGTACTTAGAGCCACTATTGGCTGCTAAGGGGTTTAGCCTGTGGGCTGGGCAGGTGCCCTTTTGCTTTGTACTTGCCCTAGGTTGTATCCCCACAGGCAGCTAGCATCCAAACCTCAAAGTAGGAGAGCAAACAACAATAAGCTCTGCACTGACTTGTAGAAGGTGATGGACCCAGACTGTGCCTGTTGCTCTCAGTGCTTTCCGATTCCATCCAAATTTGCCTCCCAGTATGGAGGAGGAGGCTATGGGCAGTTAGGTAATTTAGAGTGTCTGGACTTGGCCCTCAGTCCTAACTCAAAAACATACAACCACTCAGAGTCCGGTCTCAGTGCTTTCAGGCCCAGCTGAATAATTCCTTTTGAGGGTAGGAGAAAGAAGAATACCCACTGAGCCTGTGGGTATCAGGTGATTGAGAGGGTTTGAGTCAGGGTTCTAACCCACAGTCAACACAGCCAGGAAACAGGCCCTCTGGGCCTATTATTAAGCCATTAACTAGCTTGACTTTTTGTTCCACTTTCACCTCAGGCAGTAGGAATCACCCCCAGCCTAGGGCAGTGAGGCCATCATGGTACCCTATGGCCTTTTGCTGCTGCTGCAGTTCCTCACAGCTTGTACTTGTCTGCTGAGTCCATCTTGATCCTGTCCCTCAACCACTTCCCTTGGCTGTCTCCTACTCATACTCTTGGGCAGGATATCCCATCTCCTTGAACTGTGTGTTCCTTGTTTTCAGGCTCCTAGTGTAGTTCACTCTCTAAATAATAGGCCCTCTTTCAAGATGGCATCTTGCTCTAGCTTTTAGACAAGAAGGGAATAACAGAACATCTAGCCTTCCATACCAGAGTATTCTTTATCTCACAAATCCTTGCAACTGCTCTAAGACTTGTGGGAAGTGCAGGCTTCTTTTGCAGTTAGAATTGGCACATTGGTGTTTTGTAAACAAATGTTGCCAAAATAAAATTTCTGGAACATAATTGTGGAAAACTATGTTTAGTATTGAGATTCCATATTTAACCTCATACTGAAACTATTTCCAAAATGGTACGATGGATAAATACATTACTATATTTTATACTTGTTTTAAGCACTGTGGCCAGCCTGGGTTACATAGTAAGACTGTCTCTTTTTTAATATATTTTTAAAAATGTTTTTCATACCTAGTTGTACAACAAGGATTATTGGGATGCAGTATAGGTAATTTTTAGAAAAACGAATCAATATTTTATAGAATAGCAACTGTGCTATCTCTAGTTTTCAGGGCCTTGCAATTGCTAGACAAGTGCTTTACCACATCTCCAGACTTTTTTTTCTTTGTTTTTCAAATAGATGTCTCAAGCTTTTCCCAGGGCTCATCTGAGAACATAGTCCTCCCACCTCTACCTCACAGGTAGCTAGAATTACAGGAAAGCATGCACCACCAAGTTCGGCTTGTTTTTTGAGATAGGGTCTCACTAACTTTTTTCCTGGACTGCCCTCAAACTGCAACCCTCCTATTTCCATTTCCTAATTAAGATTGCTGATTAGGATTACCTGTCTGAAAGATTTTATTTTTACAGCTAAAGAATAAAAAATAGTCTTCAGATGGATAGTTCTAGCCCAAGCTGTGATCTTTGTTCATTTATCTATGCTCTTCCACCTGAGTCATGCTGGTAACCTCACTTTTTTCATTTTGTAGACTGATTCTCCTAGACTTTTCTGCCTGGGCTTGCTTTGAACTACAGTTCTCTGCATCTAAGCCATTTGAGTAGCTAGGATTATGGGCATGAGCTACTGGTGCCTAGCCTGTCGAGTTTGTTTGTTGTTTTGCATTATAGTGCAGGGGGTGGATCCCAAGCCTTGTGTGTACTAGACTAGTGCTCTACAACTGAGCTATACCCTCAACCTTATGGACTTTGAAACCACTCTGTTTGCTGATGTTAACCTTGATAAATGCCAGAGAGAAATGAAGTGAATGAAAAAACAAAAGATTCTTGGAGTCTTGGGTTACAGCTTTGTATGTCAAGCCTGGGTTCTGTCCTGCTACCACACATTTTGCAGATACCTTGACAAACACACAGGTTAGCTGAACTAACAGGTCGCCCCATGAGAGTTGTGGGCTGGTATCATTCCCATCCTCATATAACCGTTTGGCCTTCACATGTTGGTAAGTATCATGTGGTAGCATTGTTTATTGTCTTTAGAAATGAATAATTGTTTTTCCTTCACCACCACATAGGCCAGGGTTATTTTAACCTCAAATTTGACTATTCTTAAACAGATGTCATTATCTTGATCTCTTTTGCCATGTGTTATTGGTTTTAATAGTGAGAGACAAATTTCAGCCTCCAATTTTAACTGTACCTGAGAAATCAGGACTAAAGCCTAACTGCTGTTAATTCGCCTCAAATTAAAAGTGTAACTGAAAAACTGAACATTGTTTATTTGTAACTTCCAATCTGAAGTTTTGTTATTGTTAAAGGTGAAATTTGAAAAATTGACATTTATAATCTCTGTTTATACATAATTAATCTTTTCTGTAGGGCTTCCTATTCATAACCTAATTCTCAATCAGTATAATGTAACTAAATTGCTGTTTTTGTCTTTTCTTTTTTTGAGAATGATTGATTTTTTTTCTTCTACCTGTCTCTAGAAAGTACAAAAACTTTGATTAGAGTGAATTTACATTGATGAGCAGTAGTAATTAACTATATGATAATGATTTACCAATGTTTTCTCTAGCCTTCATATTAATCGGTGGGTTAGTGGTCTTCTCTACTATACAGAGTAATAAACAAGGCTCAGGAGGTTAAAATAAGAGGTGGAACTGAGGTTAGAACCTACTACATCATTTGTGTCACAAAGCACATATTTAGTTCAGCTTGTTTTGTTTTGTTTTCCCTAAGAAGGCTTTCTCAGTGAGGAAACCCCACATTTGTTTGGATTCCTTATGAATAGGTAACATGGTGCACAGACCTGCTATAGCACTGAGTAGCACTGTTTTGTGTGTGTGCCATTCCTGAGGCTTAAGCTCAGGGCTTGGGCACTGTATCTGAGCTTTTTTTTTTTTTCAAGCTAATGCTGTACCGCTTAAGATAGCTCTACTTCTGGCTTTTTTGGTGATTAATTGGAGATCAGAATCTTACAGATTTTGCTGCCTGGGCTGACATCAAACTGTGAGCCTCAGATTTCAGCCTCCTGAGTAGCTAGGATTACAGGCGTGAGCCACTGGCACCCAGCTGAGTAACACTTTTAGACAACTAAATCTGTGTGTCAGACCACTAGATATATGATTCTGGATTTTTAGTTTGTTGGATATGGATTATGAGTGGTAAGTGAAGATATAAATGTGAAGCAATGAACTATATGAATCATGCAGGGAGTGAGGGTAGATAGATAAAATGACTTCAGACTAACCCTGGCAATCATAATATTTCTAGTAAAAAGATGAGAATTCTGAAAAAAAGATCTTGGACAAGATCAGCCAGGAAGTTACGATGTATACAAAGTATAAGAGAGTATAAGGCCAACTAAAACAGTATTTCAGGAAGGAGTGATCAGTTGAGAAAAAGACAAATCAAGAACCAAGTAGAGGTCATTGGTGACCTTGACAAAGGCAGTTTGGGTAACATGTTAGAGACAGTAATTGTTTTCAGTGGTTGTGGATGAAACAGAATGAGAATGCTTACCTTTGATTTGCTAGGCATTATTCTGAAAATCTCCATTTTTAAAAGATCATCAGCTTTGTGAGAGATAGGTTGATGTTAACCCACGTTTAACTGATGAGGAAGTAGGCTTAGAAGTGAAATAATTTGTTGATGGAATATTTTATTTTCATTTCCAGATGTTCGTACACAAGCCATGTACCAGATGATGGATCAAGGCTTTGTAGGACTTATTTTTTCCTGTTTCATAGAGGATAAAAACACAAAGGTAGTGTGTGTGTGTGTGTGTGTGTGTGTGTGTGTGTGTGTGTGTGTGTGTGTGTGTGTGTGTGTGTGTGTGTGTGTGTGTGTGTGTGTGTGTGTTTATGCAGAGAGTAAAGTCTTTGGAATTTTAATAGAATATTCAAGGAAGGTTTCAATGAAAAGGGTTATTGGGTCAGGACCCAAAGGCAAAGGAACAAGTTGTGGATATCATGGGGGAAGATCACCCTAGGCAGATGAAGTAAGCAGTGCAAAGATTCCTAAGGTGAATGTGGCATATACAGGGAATATTGAGGAAACTGGCATAGCAGAGTGAGGAAGATTGTGATCATTCATCCCAGTTTGCCTCAGAGACTCTACTAAATAGTGTCCTATTTAGTTTCTTTCCCTCTCAAAAGTATCCCCATTTAATGGACAGCTCATTTGATTCCAGATGAGTTCCAGAATATCCTGAGACCTAATCCTATAAGGTCATGAAATTACTTTTTTTCCAGAAACATAGCAGTTCAATAGCTTGAACTTTATACTGTGAAATGCTTTCAGCTTTTCATCATAAATTTATCTGTGTAATCATCATAAATAGTTGTGGAATAAGTTTATCTGTTTCCAACACAGCAATGTGAATGTTTGGGTTTTTACTTTCTTGGATCTCACATTTATTAGCAACATTTGGTTGTGACCATCATATAGACTTGAGTATATGGTCCTTCTAATAAAAATTCATTTATGGCAAATTCCATGTTTGAGATTTCTTATATCTTTCTACTTCCAGGGTCCTTTGTGTTTTAGGTTAGAGACTACTAAGTTGCTGTGAAATTACCAACACAAAAATGATTGGCGATTGAAGAGATAGTAATGCCCAGTACTCTGATTTGATTATTACATATTGTATACAGATATTGAATTGCTATAATGTATTCCACAAAGATATACAAAAAGTATATTTTGATAAGAAATAATAAAACAAAAATACTCATGTATGATTTCTTTCTTTCTTTTTAAACAGACTGGTCGGGTACTTTATACCTGCTTCCAATCCATACAGGCCCAAAAGAGTTCAGAGTAAGTATGACAGAAACATGTATTTATGGATAGGCTCCCTGCCTCTCCCCTTCCTTCTCTTTCTTTCCTGTCATGCTTTCCTTCCTCTTACTTTTTGGACTGGATTGGGTTTTTTCTTTATCTTTTTCAGTAAGAAATTGTTCTGTTTTGATTCTTTTAGTTATTCTTATATTTTTGACATTCTGTTTTAAAATAATTTCAGACTTACGGAGAAATTGTAAGAATAGTATAAGGAAGTCTTGTATATATCACACCCAGAATCTTTAACTGTTAAAATTATACAACAAGCTAGGTGCCAGTAGCTCACATCTGTAATCCTAGCTGCTCAGAGGGCTGCAATCTGAGGATTACAGTTCAAATCCAGCTAGGACATAAAAGTCCATGAGGGGCTGGGAAGGTGGCTCAGTGGTAGAGTGCTTGCCTTGCATGCATGAGGCCCTGGGTTCCATTCCTCAGCACCACATAAGCAGAAAAAGCCAGAAGTGGCACCATGGTTCAAGTGGTAGAGCACTAGCCTTGAGCTGAAGAGCTGAGGGACAGCGCCCAGGCCCAGAGTTCAGGCCCCATGACTGACAAAAAAAAAAGTCCATGAGACTCATCCAAAAAAAAAAAGCTAGGAGTGCCAGTGTGACTCAAGTGATAGAGTACAAGCCTTGAGCAAAAAAAACTCAGGGACAGTGTCTGGGCTCTGAGTTCAAGCCCTGGGACTACATAAAAAATTGTACATTTGTAATATCATTTTCTCTTTGTATGTGTGGATATTTTTCTCTAGAACCATTTGAGCGTGAGTTGCATACATGATTCTCCTTCAGTAGGCATTCCCTGAAAGTCAGGGACTTTATATTCCATAGCCATTTTATAATTGTCAGTATCAGGACATTAAAATTCATATAATACCACTACTTAATCTGCAGATAATATTCATATACTACCAGTTTTCCTCCTCCCACTTTCCCACAGATGTGCATATAAATATATTGTATATAAGGTAAAGAATACAGTCATCAGAAAAAGAAAAAAGTCCTTTGTTTCTATATTTTTGCAGTTTGTTTTGGTATGTATATTATACAGGTATGAAGATGTACTTGGGTGTTACACCTTCGTGATTTTTTCCTGACTGTCCTCTTTTGGTCTCACTGTATGTGACTATATAGAATCCTGTATAATTTATCATATCCCAGTGTGTTTTAGATCTAACTTCCACATGTCAGGGAAAATGTGCTGTTTTCTTCTCTGGTCTTGATTTACCTCACTCAACAAGATTTATTCTAGTTCCATCCATTTCCCTGCAGATCACATTATTTTATTCTTTCTAATGGCTATGTAAAATTCCATTGTACATAGTTACCAAATTTTTTGTACCCACTTATCTATTATGGGGCATCTGGGCTGTTTCCATATCTTGGATATTGTAAATAGTGTGGCAGTGAACATGGATGTGCAGGTGTCCTTATCATATCTTGGCTTATGCTGCTCAGGGTAGATGCCTACGAGTGGTATGGCTGGGTTGTAGGGAAGGTTTATGTTTAGTTTTTTGAGGAATCTCCAGACTGCTTTCCAGAGTGATTCTATCAGTTTACATTCTCACCAACAGAGCAGTAGAGTTCCTTTTTCTTCATACCCCTCACCAGCATTTGTTGTCAGAATTCAAAATGTTGGCCAATCTATCAGGGTTGTTTCGATTTTCATTTCCTTTATGTCCAGGGATGATGAGCATTTCCTCATGTGTCTCTTTGCCATTCTTACCTCTTCTTCTAAAAAGTCTCTCAGCCTCCTTACCCATGTAGTAATTGGTGTGTTTGGGAGGGTTTAGTTTCTTGAGCTCCTTGTATATATTGGATATTAGGCCTTTGTCTGATGTATTGATGGTAAGTAAAGGTCTTTTCTCAAGTGACTGGCTGTCTTTCTAGTTTAGTAACTATGTCCTTTACTGTGCAGAAACTTTTTATATTAGTCTCACTTGTCGAGTTTCTCTCCTATCTGTTGTTCCCTTGGGACTCTATTCAGGAAGTTCCTGCCTATACTATGAGTTCCAATGTCTCACCTACTTGCTCTTGCAGTAGTTTCAGAGTTCTGTTTCTGGTGTTGAGGTCTTTAACCCATTTGAATTCATATTAGTGCATGGTGACAAACAGGGATCCTCTTTTAGTTTTCTGCTGCCCAGTTTTCCCATCACCAATTGTTGAAGAGGCTATGTTTTTTCCACTGGCTCCTTTGTCAGATATCAGATGATTGTGTGTGTGTGTGGGGGGGGGGATGTGTTGTTGTTGTTGTTGTTGTTGTTGTTGTTTTGTGTTTTTTGTCAGTTGTGGGGCTTGAACTCTGGGCCTGCATGCTGTCCCTGAGTTCTTCAGCTCAAGGCTAGTACTGTACCACTTGAGCCTCAGCGCCACTTCCAGCTTTTCCTGTTTATGTGGTGCTGAGGAATCGAACCCAGGGCCTTATGCATGCAAGGCAAGCACTCTACCACTGAGCCACTTCCCAGCTCTAAATATGTGGTTTAATTTCTGGGTCTTCTAATCTGTTCGTTCATCTTCGGGTCTATTTTTGTGCCAATACCAAGCTGTTATTGTTATTATGTCTCCGTAGTTAAGTTTGAGGTCTGATATTCTGATACTGCTTGCATTGCTTTTTTGCCTAGTATTGCTTTGGCTATTCTAGGTCTTTTGTTGGTCTGCATGAATTTTTGGATTGTTTTGTCTATCTTGATAAAAAAACATCATTGGGATTTTGATGGGGATTGCATTGAATTGTCTATCATTTTTGGCAGTATGGCCATTTTCACAATATTGATTCTACCTATCCATAAACATGGAAGGTCTTTCCATTTCCAGGTGTCCTCTTTAATTTCTTTCTTTAGATTTTTATATTTTTCCCTGTAAAGATCTTTTACATCTTTGGTTAGGTTACTTCCTAGGTATTCTTTTTTTGAGGCTATTGCAAATGGTATTGTTTTCATGATTTCCCTTTCTGCTTGTACATTGTTGCATACAAAGGGCTACTGATTTTTGCAGGTTAATTTTGTATCCTGCTACTTTGCTGGAGTGGTTGATTAGCTCTAGGAGTTTGGGGGTAGAATTTTGGGGGTCTTTTAGATATAAGATCATGTCATTTGCAAAGAGATTGTTTAATTTGGGGTTGGGAAGGTGGTTCAGTGGTAGAGCGCTTGCCTTGCATGCATGAGGCCCTGGGTTCAGTTCCTCAGCACCACATAAACAGAAAAAGCTGCAAGTGGCACTGTGGCTTAAGTGGTAGATCGCTAGCCTTGAGCTGAAAAGCTGAGGGACAGTGCCCAGGCCCAGACTTCAGGCCCCACGACCGACAAAAAAAAAAGCACAACAGGAGATTGTTTCATTTCTTCTTTCCTATGTGAATCCCTTTTTTGTCCTTTTCTTGCCTTATTGCTCTAAGAATTAACATAACTATTGAAGAGGAGTGGAGAGAGTGGGCATCCTTGCCTTGTTCCTTATTTTGGGGGAAATGGTTTTAGTTTTTCTCCATTCAGTATGATATTGGTTGTTGGACTGTCATGTATCGCTTTTAATATTTTAAGGAATGTTCCTTCTATTCCCAGGTTCTCCAGAGATTTTAGCACGAATGGATGTTGTATTTTTGTCAAAGGTTTATTTTTTTGTCTATTGAGATGATCATGTGGTTAACCTTGGCTCTGTTGACATAGTGAATTAAGTTATTGATTTGTTTATATTAAACCAACCTTGTATCTGTGGGATGAAGCCTACTAGGTCATAATGTATGATTTTTTAAATTTTTTCTGGATTGTGTTGGGTAATCTTTTATTGAGGAACTTTGCATCTGTGTTCAGCAGAGAAATTGGTCTGTAGTTCTCTTTTTTTGTTGGATCCTTACCTGGTTTGGGGATGAGTGTGATAATGGCTTCCTAGAATAGGTTTGGGATTGCTCCCTCTGCTTCTATTTCATGGAAAAGCTTGAGGAGGATTAGTATCAGTTCATCATTAAAAGTCTTCTGAAATTCAATGGTGAGTCTGTCTGGGCCTACCCTTTTCCTTGTTGGAAGACTTCTGATTACTTCCTCTATCTCGTTACGTGTTATTGGTTTGTTTAGTTGGTTTATATCTTCTAGGTTCAGTTTAGGTATTTTGTATGTTTCTAGAAGTTCTTCCATTTCTGCTAGGTTTTCCTTCTTTAGTGAGCAGAGGTTTTGAAAGTAGTCCTTTATAATCATTTGGATTTCCTACATGTTTGTTGTAATGTTTCCTGTGGCATATCTGATCTCGTTGATTTGAATTTTCTCTTCTTTTTTTCATTAATCTCGCAAGTGGTCTGTCAATTTTATTAATATTTTCAAAAAAACAAATTTTGTTTCATTGATTTTATGTATAGTTTTCTTTATTTGTTGATTTCTGCCCTAATCCTTGCTATCTCTAGTGGTTTAAGATTTGATTTTATTTCTTGTTTTTCTAGCAGTTTTAATTGTATCATTAGTTTTACTTGAGCTGTTTCCATTTTATGTGTGCTTTCCCCCCTCAACACTGCTTTTGCTGTATCCCAGAGGTTCTGTTGTGATGTGTTTTCATATTCAACTTCTTCCTTAGTTTCTTCTGTGACCCAGATGTTATTCAGTAGTGTGTTGTTAAGACTTTATGTATTTGAGTAATTTCTGCATTATGTTTTGTTGTTGAGAAGTTGTTGGATTCTACTGTGGTTAAGATAGGATGCAAGCTATTATGCCAGTCCTCTTGTATTTGCTTAGGTTCTTTGTGTGAACTATGATATGATCTTTTTTTTCTTTTTTTGTCGGTCATGGGGCTTGAACTCCGGGCTTGGGTGCTGTCCCTCAGCTCTTTAGCTCAAGGCTAGCACTCTACCACTTGAGCCACAGCACCACTTCCGGTTTTCTGAGTGGCTTATTGCAGAAAAGAGTCTCTGTAAGTCTGAAAGTATTTAACAAGTTTAGGTGCTCCATTGTTTGGTGCATAGATATTGACCACTGTGATTTCCTCTTCATGGATCATTCCCTTTATTAATATGACCTTCCTTGTCTCTTCGTACTGATTTTAATGAAAAGTCTATTTTATCAGGTATCAGTATGGCTACTCCTGCCTTCTTACAAGGTGCATTTGCATGGAAGATCTTTTTTTACCCTTTCACTTGGAGTTTGTTTATAATCTTTGTGAGATGGGTCTCTTGGATACAACAAATGGATGGATCTTGTTTTGTGATCAAATCTGCTGTTCTATTTCTTTTGATTGGGAAATTGAGTCCATTAATGTTTAGTTATTATAGGGAGATGTGTCATGTTTCCTTCCATTTTCTTAATTTCCCGTATTTTACTTCTTCCCATTTGATTTCCTGTATTTTACTTCTTTCCACATCCTGTGCTTACTAAATTGATCTTCTACTGATTTTTCTCTGATGTGTTTCCTTGGTTTTGGTTGTTATCTTCAGATTTTTATTCTTTCCTTTAGTATTCTTTGTAATGCTGGTATAGTGTTCATGAATTCCTTTAATTTTCGTTTGTTATGGAAGGTTTTGTTTCACCCTCTAATATAAATGATGGCTTCTCTGAGCACACCGGTCTGGGTTGGCAGTTGTTGATCTTCAGGTCATACCATTCCAGGCTCTCCTTGTGTTGAGGGTTTGTGTGGAGAGGTCTGCAGTGATTCTGATTTTCTTTCCATTGTAATTTAGCTCCTTTTTTGATTTTGCAGCATTTAAAATCAATTCCTTGCCATTCAAGTCTAATGTTTTAATTCATAGGGTTTTAAAAATGCTTTTTGTCGCTTAAATTTATGCAAAAATTAAATGAATTATGGGCTAAAGTTATATAATGTGGATTCCTGGTTTTGTCTGTATTTACACTTTTCTGCAGAACTTGATATTTTTATATGGTTCCATGTTCCTCTCTGCCCTTCCTTTTATTTTGAAAAACACCCTTTAGCATTTCTTATAGAGCATATCTATTGTTAATGAACTTCTTAAGCTTTTGTTTATTTAGTAGAACATTAATTTCTCCTTTATTTTTCAAGGAGAGTTTTGCCTGATGCAATATTGATTGACAAGAATTTTATTTTCCTTTTTGGACTTTGAATAGATCATCCCAGTTCTTTCTAGTCTACAAGGTTTCTGCTGAGAAATAGACTAGCAAGCTCTTGTACATAATGAAGCACTTTTTCTTGCTGCTTTCAATAATTTTCTCATCTTTAACTTTTGACAGTTTGCTTATATGGCCTTGGTGTTAGTGTCATTGGATATGTCCTAGTTGTAGTTTTTTTACTTTTGTAAATTTGTACTTCTTTTCTCAGAAGTGAGTTATATCTCCAAATAATCTCTGTACCTTTCTTTCATCTCATTTCCTTCTTGAAATCATGTAAGGTATTGATCTACTTCCTACTGTCCTGTTAGTAGTCTCTTAGGCTTCTTCACTTTTTGCTTCATTCTTGCATCATTTTATTCCCGTCTATATTTCAGATGACCTAACTTCAAGATACTTATTTATGATTTTTGCTTGATAATATGCTCTTTACAGTTAAATTTTCAGTTGAGTAATTCTGTTTTTAGTTCCAGAATTCCTATTTGCGTCTTTTCTTTTTACAGTTTCCTTATCTTTGTTGATGGTTTCATTTTTTTTCGTGTATCATTTTCCTTTTTTCATTTACTTACCTGTGTTTTCACTTGACCTACTTAAGCATCCTTATGCTAGTTATTTTAATTTATTTGTCAAGCATCTCAGATCATTCTTTTCTTAGGATTGTTTTCTGGATTTTACCCTGTGATTTGGGTCTTGTTTCGCTGTTTGTTTATATACCTTTTTTACAGAAGTGTTGTTAATTATTGACACTCAGACATTTGAAAAAGCAGCCACCTGTCCTAGTCTTTATTGAATGGCTTTGTGCTAGGGAAAACATTCACTGGTAAGTCCATCTAGAGATTCTGGGACTTTTCATACATTTTTGTTATTTCCAATTCCCTAAGCAACCATTTTCTGCTTCTTTAGAGACGTCCAAATTTCCTGCTCCCCATTCTGGCTTCATATAGAACTGAGTCTCTTTTGTTGCTCAGATTGTATCTATTTTCATCACCTTCCATACCAAGCTTTCAGTATTGTCAGCAATCAAGTCAAATGATACAGATTCTAGTCTCTCTGAAATTTCCTAGCTTAGGCTGGTCTGCTCTTTATTTACATCTCAAGGCAGGATCCTCAATGTGAGAGTTTCCATCCTCTTTGTACTATGAAAGGTCAAATAGGACAAGGGAAGCACACAGGTACACAAAGTATCACAGATTTTTCTACAAGTTTTGCTGGAATCCCTGCTTTATTTTACATTTGTCTATATGTTAGAACTTTTCAACTGGTCTCTAGAGTTCTTCAAAGGTATTCTAATCAGTCTGGTGGTATTCAGTGTCTCTGGAAGCACAAAGTCCTAAAACATTCTAGTATGTTGGCTTCCTCATGTATCTGTATTATCTATGAGCCTTACTCTACTGACTTTTTCAACTGAGACCTAGGACCCACAAACCCTTTTGAAAAATGTTTTCAACTTATTCTAAAGTTTCTTCCTTGGAATCAGAAAATACCCTTCTAGGAAAACTATTCCTGTCAGGCTCTTTTTCTTCCTGTTCTACTTGTTGGTACTGTTATTAGTCATTGCCAATGACTTCTAAATAGATGCTGTTTTATCTGTTCTAAACACTTCTTTGTCATAAATTTTAAATTTCTACCCGTTTTGGTCCAAGGATTGTTGTTTTCAATAACCTGACAGAACCTTTAGCACTTTTCTCTAGGAATTTTTGAAGATATGTGTCTAAACCCAATAAACGATTGAAACTATTTTTGCCTGTACTATTGATAGATTTACTTGGAAGCCTTGGTAACTTTACTAATAGCAGTCTTGGTTCTGGAAATATCAATAATAATATCAGATATTACTTGAAAGGGCCTTCAAGCCACTTAGCAGCTGTGGCATATTTTTTCACAATTTTTCTCCTGACTTTTTAAGTGTAGAGAGGTAAAGAGTGATTTTAATTTCCCATCATTTGTGGCATGGTACATAAGCATACTTATTGGGAAAGGATAGTATAGAACTAGATATTATTCTGTTTTACCACCCTGTGTCAAGGGGCCTGCAGTATGTCAAGGTCCCCAACCTGGATTCTCCACTGAATACACAGTTAGAAGTTTAGGTATATTGGGAGTATGAAGAAAGAAGAGATTAGTTGACATTAGTAACATACATATCTTTTTTCTTTCACAGTAGCATGAAAATACAAATACATGTGAACTTCTTAACTGTGTTCCCCAAAAGGAGAGAATGAGAAGTAAGGGTCATTTGTGAACAGAGTTAGAGCAAGTCAGAATGTGAATAATTCCATCTGTAAAATAAACAGTTTGCAGTTTCTCTTCTCCAGGCTTTATGATCAATTTGTTCAGCTTCACTGGCAACTTTCTGACTAAAAACAATATTAGTTGGCTATTTTCCTTGCGTGGGACCTTGAACTCCCAAAGGTTTCTGGTAAGTTAGCAGATGTAGATTCTGATTATCTATAGGACCAGGAATATTGACTCTTCAAGCAGACTCCTAATTTGCTCCCCAAATGAACCAGTTTGAACTCTCTCTACTTTGAAATTAAGCCACTTAATGAATTATTGCAATGCTTACCCTCTGAAACATGCCATATCCCCAGGTGTCAAAACTATAGAGAACTTATTATAATGAAGGGTTCAATACTGATCTGAACTGGTTATCTTGCAGGTATGAGAGAATTGAAATCCCAATCCATATTGTACCTCATGTCACCATTGGGAAAGTGTGCCTCGAATCAGCAGTAGAGCTGCCCAAGATCCTGTGCCAGGAAGAGCAGGATGCATATAGAAGGATTCACAGGTAGACACAGTTGTGCCTCTTTGCTACTTCTCAGAGCCGAATCCTTTTATCTGTAACAGCTGAACTCTTGAGCCACATCTCCTTTCCTTTCACTGCTCTAATTACAGTTCTCACACTATGTTTTTTAAAGAATGATATTGTTTCTATTAAGGCATTGTACAGAGGAGTTACCATTTCACAATTCAGGCAACGCATACATTTCCCTTTTGAACAATGTCACCCCTTCCTTCACTAACCTGTTTCCCCTTGTCCCTGCCCATAAGTTATATAGTTCATTTTCCACAAAGTGTATACTGATTACCATGATTTCATTTGTTCACCCTTCCTCCCTCACTTTCTGTGACCATTCCCCTTTGTCTTCCCCAAGAAGCAAAAAAAAAAGAGAGAAAGAAAGCACACACTACCACCATCAATAACAAAATATAACCCATGTTTCTGCTTCCTGGAATTCTTTTCGATAAATAGTATTTTAAATGTTCAGGAGAATTACACCTTTGGGTTCCTCCCCTACTGCTATCCTCCTTTGGTCTTACTGTTTGTGTGTAAATGCCAAGAGTCCTGAATAGGTTATTATGTCCAGTTGTATTTCACATGTAGCATCCATATATAAAAGACAACATGCACTGTTTGTCTCTTTGAGCTTGGCTTACCACACTTAACTAGAACACTAATTCCATCTATTTTTCTGCAAATGACATATTTATATTCTTTCTAATGAATGAGTGAAATTTCATTGTGTATAGGTACCACATTTTTTGATCATCAGTTATAGAGCATCTGGGCTGTTTCCATAACTTGGCTATTGTGAATATGCAGCAGTGAACATGGGTGTGCAAGTGTCTTTATGATATCCCGGCTTGTGATGCTCTGGGTAGATGCCGAGAGTGTTATGGCTGGGTCATAGAAAAGTTCTGAGTTTTTTGAGGAACCTCCAGACTGCTTTCCAGAATGGTCATTCTAGTTTACATTCCCACCAACAGTGCAATAGGGTTCCTTTTACCCCATATTCCTACCAGCATTTATTGTTTGAATTCCTGATGCTATCCAATCTAACTGAGGTGAGATGGAATCTCAAAGTTATTTTGATATACATTTCCTTTACAGCCAGGGGTGGTGAACATTTTTCATATGTGTCTTTGCCATTCTTCTGAGAAGTTTCTCTTTAGCTCCATTGTCCATTTGTTGATTTGTTTGTTCACTTTAGAGAGGTTAGTTTTTTGAGTTCCTTGTATATTTTGGATATTAGACCTTCGTCTGATGTATTGCTGGTAAAGATCTTCTCCCAGTCTGTTGGCTGTCTCTCTAGTTGAGAAATGATGTTATTTGCTGTGCAGAAGCTTTTTATTTTGATGTAATTCCATTTGTCAAATCTCTCTTCTGTCTGCTTTGCCCGGGACTCTGGAAAAAGTTCCTGCCTATGCCTATAAGTCCTAATGTTTCTCCTACTCCATCTTGCAATAGTTTGTGATTAAGGTCTTTGATCCATTTTGAGTTGATGTTAGTATACGGTGACAAACAGGAATCCAATTTTAGTTTTCTACATATGGGTGTCTGGTTTTCCCAACACCAATTATTAGAGACGCTATCTTTTGTCCACCGTACATTTTTGGCTCCCTTATCAAATGTCAGATAACTATAAGGCTTTATTTCTAGGTCTTCAAGTCTGTTCCATTGAGCTTTGGGCCTATTTTTGTGTCAGTACCAAATTGTTTTTGTTGTTATAGCTCAGTAGAGAGTGTGAGGTCTGGAATTGTCTTGCACTCTATTTTAACAGTCTCTTTAACATATCTTCCTGTCCTGGTATATTTGGATACTTCAAGGAAAAGCATATTTTCATTTTGTTTGTGAAAACAAAATAAATGACATTTTAGTAACCCTTTTCTACTGGATTTCCTCCATCAATGCATATCAAGGTTTTACTGAGAGACATTAATTTCAAAGTTTTCTATTAGTATTTTTCAAATTTTTAAATAAAGTCATATCCCTACAATAATTTGGAAATAATAGGAATTGAAACGTAAATCATAAATATTCATCTAACTCAGTTGGCAAAGGTCTAAAGTAGATTTTGTTACAGATCATGACCTTTTTGTTTTCCCTTCAGTGTTGCTTTGTTACTGACATAAACTTATTTTATTTCTTTAGTCTTACACATCTGGACTCAGTAACCAAGATACATAATGGCTCAGGTAATGTTTCTTATTTCCTCGAATAGAGTGGTCTCTGAAATACTTACCTGACAGAAGCACATTTAAGCATGAATACCATGTCATGAATACCAGTTATCTTTTATTTTCCTTTCTCAAGAGCTTTACTGCTTTTGCTCACAAACTCTTTTTTTTCCTGGTCCTGGGCCTTAAACTCGGCTTGAGCACTGTTCCTGAGCCTCTTTGTGCTCAAGGCTAGCTCTCTACCATTTGAGCTATATTGCACCACTTCTGATTGTTGAGTGGCTAATTGGTGATAAGGATCTCATGGGATGGGCTGGGAAGGTGGCTCAGTGGTAGAGTGCTTGCCTTGCATGCATGAGGCCCTGGGTTTGATTCCTCAGCACCACATAAGCAAAAAAAAGGATCTCATGGGAAATTTTCTGCCTGGGCTGGCTTTGAACTGTGATCCTCACCCTCTTGAGTAGCTAGGCTTACAGGTGTGAGCCACCGGTGCCTGAACTCCAGATAACTGCAAAATGCAGCCCAAAGTAAGATAAGAGGAAAGATTGAAAGAGATTTATTTATGATAGATCAATTCAGTGGTATACTGGCATATGTCTAACAACTACCTCTCAGGGAATAGAGATTTGATTTACTGTGTTTGCTGGTTTCCATGATAAAATCCTAGCATGGTAGCTCAAAAATAATGCACTGTTGTGAAGTGTTATAAGCTAGTTCAGCACATTATCAGCAGCCTATAGACAGATAAAATGGAAGGCACAAGAGAGAAGACGGTGTTTTCATGTTAATAGAGAAAAAATTCCTGTATACTGTTAAAGAGCAAAAAAAACTCACTACAATATACTTAAGACACTTTTATCCAGCATCCACAACTCTGGAGCGATAAATACTTTCTAAATAACCCTGATCCCCCAGTGATTCAGTAAAGTCTTCCCCATTTACTTGCTAAGTGATAAGTGAGGAAAAGTAGACACGTTCAAATTTGACAGGCAGTAATCACTTTATGAAGAAAGGAAGAGAGACTTGGCTTGGTCCATCTGTCTCATCATTTCTGTTTGAGAATAAAACATTACAAAGGGTTAATATTGGTTAAAAATAGTAATTTAAAAAGTATAATAATCACTCAAATGTGGAATCGCTTAAATAGATCAGTGGAACTAGGTAAATCGCGGAGATAGGCCAATGTATGTTTAAGAATTAATATTTAATGTGATTTTTCAAATCGATAAAATGGATGGATTATTTACTGATTAGTGACTTTTTTTGCCGGTCCTGGGCCTTGAACTTACTCCTGAGCTCTGTCCCTGAGTCTCTCAGTACTCAAGGCTTATGCTGTGCCACTTGAGCCACAGCATCACTTTGGACTTTTTCTGTTTATGTGGTACTGTGGAATTGAACCCAGGGCTTCATGCATGGTAGGCAAGCACTCTACCACTAAGCCACATTCCCAGCCCTTGACAAAAAATTTTAAGCTTATTCTTTGCTAGACATTCTTCTGGACATTGGGATATAGTGCTGAATTTAACATAGGTTTCAAGAGCCTGTATTATTATTTTTCTGTTTCAAAGAAGGTAGATTCCTGTCCATAAATATGTTCCAAATATGCTTAAGATTTTATAATTAAATATGGTTCAAACACTTTGGCAATTAAAATTGCCAGATATCCCACCAGTTCATCTAGGCGCGTACCCAAAAGTATTGAAAACAAAATTTTAACGTAATTTGTATACAAGTGTACCTGGCTGTATTATTCTGATACCCAAAAAGTAGAAATAATCCAAAGTTTGTTAATAGGTGAATGGATAAATAGTATGTAATATATGTATACAATGAAGTACTACTCAGGAATAATAACAAACTACTGACACATGAACAACCTGGATGAATCTCAGGTATTATGTCTGGTGCAAGAAGCATCATATAAAAAGTCATATACTGTATAGTTACAAATTCATGAATAGGGAAGCCTAATTTATGCTGGTAACTATGTTGGTAGCTGTTTGAGGATAGAGGGGGATGGCACATTTTGCTTAAATGGAATTGTTGAGAGGATTCTTGGGGTGATAGAAATGATTTGTGTTTCTGCTGGGGATGTTATATGGGGTATACAGTTTTCAAAATTCATTGCACTGTATACTTTAAATTGATTTATTGTCTATAATCTGCCTCTCCCTAATGATGATCATTTTAAGAAAACACAAGAGAATACTTTTCAAATTCTAGGGACATGGTGCCTAAGTATAATCTGAAACTCTGAACTCATAAAAGATTTGACTAAATAAAAATTGAACACTTTCATAGGCCCCTACAGAAAAACTTAAATACTAAATATAATATTTTAAAGAAGTATGAATCAAGACCCAGTTACCATTTTTTTCACCCATTGGGAAAGATTAAATTGAGAGACAACTAGACAAGGATGTGGGAAAAGTAAAATTGCCTCTGTTCCTGAAATTATAATATGGTATAATCAATTAAAAAGTGGTTCATCAGTTTTAAAGTATACATGAATTTAGGTATGACAATTCCACTTAAGCAGAGAGCAGAAATTAGATGCCACTTAGATCCCTATCAGCAAGAGACTTATTAAGTTCATATATCTATTGAGTTTTATGTAGCTTTTAAGGAAAACTAGATTTTTTAACTTTTATTGAAAAATACTTACGATATTGTTTTTTGGTTTTTTTTTGGGGGGGGGGTCTGGTCGTGGGGCCTGAACTCTGGGCCTGGGTGCTGTCCCTCAGCTCTTCAGCTCAAGGCTAGCGCTCTACCACTTGAGCCACAGCGCCACTTCCGGCTTTTTTCTTTTTGCTTATGTGGTGCTGAGGAATGGAACCCAGGGCCTCATGCATGCAACGCAAGCACTCTACCACTGAGCCACCTTCCCAGCCCCTATTTATGATATTGTTAAGGGGAAAGTAACACCCAAAATAAGTATATCCATGCACAAATATCTCTAGAAAGATTTGTATTATAGTGTTCATTTCAATAAATCATGTATTAAGAGACAAGAAGTATTTCTGTTAGGCAGATTTGGTTTTAAAAGTGTGCTATAAACTAGATACTGATGGCTCATGCCTGAAATTCTAGCTGATCAGGAGGCTGAGGTCTAAGGATGATGGTTCAAATCTAACCCAGGTAGCAAAATCTGTGAGACTCAAATCCAATTAACTACCCTCCCAAAAAAGCTAGAGTTGTGGCTTAAGTGATAGAGCACTAGCCTTGGGCAAATTTTTTTTTTTAAATCTCATGAATAGCACCAGGCACTGAGTTTAAGCCCCAGGATTCTCTCTCTCTCTCTCTCTCTCTCTCTCTCTCTCTCTCTCTCTCTCTCTCTCTCTCTCTCACACACACACACACACACACACACAGCACCAGGCACTGAGTTTAAGCCCCAGGACTGACACACACACACACACACACACACACACACACACACACACACACACACACACACACACATACACACACACACACACACACAGCACCAGGCACTGAGTTTAAGCCCCAGGACTGACACACACACACACACACACACACACACACACACACACACAGCACCAGGCACTGAGTTTAAGCCCCAGGACACACACACACAAACACACACACAGGACACACTCACACACACACACACACACACACACACACACACACACAAAACTACCCGCATGTTATAGAATCTTTGTCTCACCATGAAGCTGAACATTTATGGTAAGACATAAAATATAACTCCTTTATTCTTCATCTCTCTTGTTTTCTCATTTTGAAAGAGGACCTCTCAGGTGAGTTGAATTAATGTATTTATTTCTTTAATTATATGCATAACATTTGATAGGCAAATTGCTAGCTCTCTAATAGTCATTTAGCGCTGAAAGGGCTGAAGGGCTGAGAGGGAGCCCTCCTACTTTCTTAGCACTTCTGCCTCAAGGAATGGAGTTGGCCATTTTTCTGCTCTCAATATAGCCAGGCTTCTCACTGGCTTGTGAATGTAGGGTGCTCAAAGTGACTTTAGAAATTGGTATTTTCTTTGCCCGGGCCCAATTTATTGCATTATTTCTACTTCTCCATCTCCTTTTTTTCTATATTCATGACTGAGGTGCTATTGGTGGTGAAGTGGGAACATTCTATGAAATGAGCTTTGCCACAGTTAGCTCATCTGTCTTTTTCCCAAAGTGTTCACCAAGAATCTGTGTAGTCAGATGTCAGCAGTCAGTGGACCTCTCCTGCAATGGTTGGAGGACAGACTGGAACAAAATCAACAGCATTTACAGGAGTTGCAACAAGAAAAGGAAAAGCTTATGGAAGAACTTTCTTCCCTAGAATAAAGTAGAAGACAAAAATGGGGTAAGTTTGTGCACTAAACGTCATCTAGAATCCACACACAGCTCATAGGTTAGCAGACAGTGAAACAGTTCTTCTTATATTCCAGTAAGTTTTATGCATGCAATAAATACAAGATGTCTTCCTAAAATTTTCACTACAGCTTGTTGAATCATCTCACCTATAATTGGCCTACAAATAATAAAAGAGCTTTATTTTGTATGGCTATAGGAAGTACATTGGCAAGAGATATCTGGGAATAAAATGAGGAGTACATTTAAAATGTTTGTTTTTCTCTTTTTAAATTTGGCAGTATTTATTTTTGTTTCCAGTTACACTTATCCCCTATAATAAGCTAAAGGAAGAAGAGTTTTTTACGTTTTGATTTTGTATTTCTGATGCTTCTGGATGATGCTAGGATTCCAAAAGGTACTAGAGGTGCCTCATCAGCACCCACCTTCCTATTCTTTGCCCTTGTTGAGAGACAATAGGTATTCTGATACCAAATACTGCGTCTAATATGGGCGTCCTTTTTAACCAACCAAATGAGTTGTAACTTGTGACTGTGAAGCAAGTCTCTACTGAACAGATCCTATATATTTAGGAATTTTCATTGTAATTTAAATTTATTTTTCCAGAAACATTTAGAACTTAGGATGTAATAAGAATCATACTTTAAACAGTTTGTGGCTGGGCACCCATGGCTCATGCCTGTAATCTTAATTATTCAAGTGTCTAGGTCTGAGGATCATGGTTCAAAAGCAACCCAGGAAAACAAATCTTTTATATTCTTAATTTTCCAATTGACAAAAACCCAGAAGTAGAGGTGTGGCTCAAGTGGTAGAGTGCCAGACATAAGGGGAAAGGCCAAGTAAGAGTGTGAGACCCTTGAGTTCAAGTCCTAATACTGGCACACAAAAAAATTTGATTACACTATTCCTGTCAAATATCACCATGAACAATAAGTATGTCTTCAGAAAAGAGTTATATGTTGAGAATTAAAGTGGGGATTGGAGAAGTAGAAAAGAAAGAAGAGACCTTCAGTCTCCAAAACAATGCTAAAGGTTGTTTTTTGGTTTGGGTTTTTCTTCTTGTTTCTTCCCTAGATTATCACAATTCTAGAAGTACTCATATCAGAACAGCTTATATTCAGAACCACTATTCTGAAACTTAAATGGAATGTAGGTACTGTATTTTCTCTCGTGTCCCTCACCAGAGTTCTCTATTCTTTTTTCTTTTCCTCTAGGGAAGGTGAAAATACCCAGAGAACAATTACACTTTAAAAAAAGCTAAATTGATTTTGATGAACCAAAAATTAGAGTGCTCACATTACTCCACTTCAAGACTTAATGTGAAGCTCCAGTAAATCTGGACAGTATGATTCTGGCAGAGGAGTAGACACATGGATCAATGGAACAGAAGAGAGAACACAAATAAGTCTGATTAAGTACAAAAGTGGTTCGTTCAATGGAGAAAGGACAAACTTTTCAACAAGTCATGCTAAAGTAATAAGTACCTAAAAGCAAAAAGAGAACTTCAACCTAAACCTAGTATCTTCTATAAAAGTTACCTCAAAATGTATTATGGATTTAAATGTAAAATGTAAAACTATAAAAGTTTTAGAAAAATGCCATAGGATAAAAATCCTTAGGAAATAAATTCTTAGACTTCAAGTCAAAAGCACAATACATAAAGAAAGAAAAAAGTTGTAACGTTGTATTTCATCAAAATAAGAACAAGCTACAAATAGAAAAAAATGTTAATATTTAATCAATGTGGGAAACACTGTGTTCAAGCCTCAAAGATAAAAATATCTAAAAAGTGAGTGAAAAACCTGAGTAGCTATTTCACCAAAATGTGTGATATATAAGTCATGACGTGAAAAAATTTCATGAGTATAGGAAATGCAGATTAATGCCACAGTGAAGGTACTTGTGCTTGTCAGAATGGCTGAAGAAAAATAGGGAAACTACCACACATTATTGAGAATACAAACTAATTGGTTTTTTAATCAATGACAGGAATGTAAAATGGTATAGCCACACTGGAGAAAACTCTGGAAATTTCTTTTGAAGCTAAACATAGACATTACCTGTGACTCAGCAGTTGCACTCCTGGACATTTATACCAGAGAAATGGAAACTGGTATTGTCACAAAAGTTTTCAAAGCCGCTTTATTTGTATTAACCAGAAATCAAAAACAACCCAGATATCCTACAATAGATAAGTGATTAAACAAATCTCTACTAATGAATACTGCTTTTAATGGAAAAAAACACAAGGCTACTAACCACATTGAATTTATATGAAAAAGCTAATCTCAATAGGTCACATACTGTGTGATTGCACACATTACTGAAATGTCAAAATTACAGGAATGAAGACCAGATTAGTGGTTTCCAAGGATAGGACTGAATGAGGTATGGCATATGTATAACTATATAGGAATACACAAGAAGTTCCTTTGTGGTGATGGAAGTTTTGTATGTTGATTGTAGTGTTGTGTGTGAATCTGTACCTGTGTTAAAGTTGTATAAATCTATATATACACAAATGCATGTAAAGTTTGGTGACCATAGAGTCTATAATCTGCTTAGTTATATACCATGTACTATTTTTGCAACATTCAATTACTACAAAATAAAAACTTGGAAATTTTAACAAAGAAAATGGGAGCTTGATTTTTCAGTGTTATAGACATCATTTACAAACCTGAAAAAGGGAAGAAAGACAAAATGAACTCTGATGTTGAACTGAAAGTTAAAGTATTTACTTGAACTCTTTTCAAAGGAAGAGGTGTATGTGTTCATGAAGAGGAACTAAAAGTGACACCCATTATCAATGAGCACCCCTACCACCACGATGGTGGTTATCACATACCATTCTCCATGAAAAGTGGGATAGAGTTGGTAGTTCAGAAATAAAGCTGCACATATGTAGTCAGCTGATTTTTAACAAATGAGCCAAAAATATTGGTTGGGGTAAGAATAGTCTTTTCAACTAATGATCAGACAAATATCCACATGTAAAAGAATGAAGTTAGACCACTACCCCACATCATATGAGCATTAACTCAAAATGTTTCACACTTAAATGTTAGAGCCTACAATTATAAAAACCACATATGACATCTTATTTGAAATTTTTTATTAGCAGCAAAGTACAGATTATTATATGTATGCATATAATGTACTTTGAGAAAAACTTTATTTCTTAGCCCCTCCACATCCCCCTTTTTAACTTTAGGGAGCCTCACTATGTATGTTTTATTTTTTTTAATGCATTACTTCCATTATATTTATCTTCTCCATTGCCCTGTCCTTCCCCACTCCCCAAGATTGACCCCTACCTTTACAAGCATGTCTCTTTCTTTTGATCAGTCATGGGGCTTGAACTTTGGGCCTGGGTGCTGGCCCTCAGCTGTTCAGCTCAAGGCAAGCACTCTACCACTTGAACCACAGCACTACTTCCAGTTTTCTGGTGGTTAACTGGAGATTAGAATCTCACAGACTTCCTGCCCAGGCTGGCTTTGAACCATGATCCTCAGATCTCCTTAGTAGGATTATAGGTGTGAGCCACCAGCGCCTGGCTAAACATGTCATTTTTGTCTAGGTTTCTCAGAGAAGTGAAAATAAGAAATACATTGCCTTTCTGAGCTTGCCCTATCTCAATGTGACAATCTACAGATCCACTCATTTCTTGCAACTGGCATAATTTCATTATTTTTTATTGCCATTGTGTGTTTACCACATTTTCTTTATCCATCATTTTAATCATTTGTGGGCACCTAGTCTTTCCATGGTGGGCTAGTGTGTGGATATATGTCAGGAGTGATACAGCAGGGACATATGGTAGTTCCATTTTTAGATTTTTTTTTAATGCCAGTCCTAGGGTTTGAACTCAGGGCCTGGGTACTATCCCTAAACTTTTTTGCTCAAGGATAGCACTCAACCACTTGAGCCACATTTCCGCTTTCAACTTTTTGATGGTTAATTGGAAATGAGTCTCACAGACTTTCCTGCCTGGGCTGTCTAGGAAAGTCTATGAGTAGCTAGGATTACAGGTGTGAGCCACCAGGGCCTGGCAAGATCTTTGATCTATTTTGAATTGATTATTTTTTTGGCAGGGGGGGGGGGTGAACTCCAGGCTTGGGTGATAGCTTGTAACTTTGTTGTTGTTAGCCACAGCACCATTTCTTTTTTGGGTAGTTAATTGGAATCTCAGGAACTTTCCTGCGCAGGCTGGCTTTGAACTGTGCTCCTCAGATCTCAGCTTTCTGAGCAGCGAAGATTACTGGTGTGTGCCACCTAAATTTATTGTAAACAATAGGGATAGGGCTCTAGTTTCAGTCTTTATTTTTTAAGGTGTGCTTTTATAATTTACTTATTATTTTGCCAGTCCTGGGGCTGGAACTCAGAGCCAGGGCTTCTTTTTGCTCAAGGCTAGCACTCTTAACACTTCAGCCACAGCGCCACTTCTGGCTTTTTCTGTGTATGTGGTGCTGAGGAATCGAACCCAGGGCTTTGTGCATGCAAGGCAAGCACTCTACCACTAAGCCACATTCCCAACCCATCTAGTTTCAGTCTTTTACATAAGGATATACAGTTTTTCCAAAACTTTATTGAAGAAACTTTTATCCAATGTATGTTTCTGGCATCTTTTTCAAAAATCAAGTGAATATATGTGCTTGGGTTATTTTTGTGTCTTCTATTATCTGTTTTTGTGGCAGTACTGTACTACATTTGTTACCATGGCTTTATAGTATAGTTTGAAGTCAGGTGTTGTGTGATACCTCCAAAACTGCTGTTTTTGCTCAGAATTGCTTCAGCTATTTGGGGTCCTCTATGCTTCCATATGAATTTTAGGATTGATTTTTATATTTTTATGAAGAATGGTCTTGACATTTTAATGAAGGGGTGCATTGAATCTGTAAATTGCTTATGGTAGCATAACCATTTGCACAGTATTATTCCAGTCCATAAACATGGGAGGTCCTTCCATTTTCCAATGTCTTCAATTTTTTTCAGGGTTTTAGTTTTTGTAGTAGAGATCTTTCGGATCCTTTGTTGGGTTTATTACTACATGTTTAATTTTGAGGATATTGTGATTGGTATTGTATTTCAAATTTCTTTCTTATATCATTTATTATTAGTATAAAGAAAAGCTACTTAATTTTATGTTGATTTTACATAGCTAGTTAGCCAAAAGTGTTTCTCACATCTGAGAGTAATTTTAGTGAAGTCTTTAGGGTCTTTTGAGTGTGATATAGTATCATCTGCATGTAAGGACAATTTGACTTTATTTCTTTCTCTTGCCTTATTGATCTGGCTAGGAATTCCAGCACTACATTGCATATAAGAGGAGAAACCACAGGCTTGGTGCTGCAATGAGAATTATCTTGCAGGGGCCTAGTGGTAGAGTGCTTGCCTAGCATGCATGAAGCCCTGGGTTCGATTCCTCAGTACCACATAAACAGAAAAAGCCAGAACTGGTGCTGTGGCTCAAGTGGTAAAGTGCTAGCCTTGAGCAAATGAAACTCAGGAACAGTACCCAGGCTCTCAGTTCAAGCCCCAGGACTGGCAAAAAAAAAAAAAGAGAATTATCTTGCAGTCTGAGTGGGGCCACAGACCACTATGTCCCTTTCCTGAGCTTCCAGCTGTTGAAACCTCTCGGTGGATCCATATCAGACCCTCCCCATCTCCATAACCACCTCTTAAACTGTCTGGCAGGAAATGCCTGCAGAGTCAAAAACATCTTTCCTTGCTTTTGGCAATGGATTCATAGTTATGACACCAAAAATATAAATAGCAAAAATAGATACATTAGACTTCATGAAAGTAATTTTTGTGCATCCATATATCAAAACAGAACTCAGACAATGGGAGAGAATGTTTGCAAGTCATGTATCTAAGACACTAGTCTCCAAAATTCCTAGAAAAAATTGATGGCAAAACCCATCATGAAATAATGCAGTTCAAAAGGAGGCATGGAATAGGAGATTGGGAGAGTTGGGGAAGAGAAAGCAATAAAGTGTTATTGTGAGCAAAATATATATGCACTTCTGAAATACCACAGTGTAACTCCTTAGTTCAATTAACACTGAAGAATAGAAGAAATTAATGGCAGGAAAGTAAAATAGGCTCAGATGGGAGTTTGGGAACCTGTGCAAGTGGGGGGGGGTGCTAACAAAGAGGATGAATCATGAATCAAAATAAATATGGTTGATGTTGCTTATTTGCATGTATGAAAATTGAACTATGAAACCTATTGAAATTATTTTAAGAAAGGGGAGTGAGAGGGGGAGAAAAGTAGAAGGAATGAGGTGATCATGATATATGTGTGGGAATATAGTGAAACCCCTTTGTACAAGTAGTGTATGCCTATTAAGTTTTTTTTAAGTGGGCACAATCTAAATGCACATTTCTATACCAATTGACAATAAGCACATGAAAAGATGCTTAACATCAGCAGAGAAATGTAAATCAAAACCATGAGATATTCATGCCCACTTAAAATAAAAATGTAAGCCCAGCACACAGGTTTAGGTCCAGATACTTGGAAAACAGGCAGAAGGACAGTCTGAGCCTCAGGGTTTGAGGCCAGTCTAGCAAGACTGTAAGTAAAAAAAGAAGATAATAAGCATTGGTGAGAATGTGGAGAGACTAGAACTTGTGTAGTCCAAATGGGAATGTAAAATAGTGTAGTCAGTTTATCTGATAGTTCCTTCTAAAATTAAACATGAAAGACAGCAATTGCACTTCCAGGTGTATATCTCACAGAAAACAAGTATTAAAACTAAAATTTGTACATGAGTATTCATAGTAGAACAATTCACAATGGCCAAAGGGCAGAGATAACTGTCCATCCACTGATGAATAAATGAAATATGTTATCTTCATGCCATGAATATTATTCTCTCATAAATCAAAATTAATTACAACATGGATAAATCTTGAACACATGCTTTTGAAAGCATCCTGACACAAAAGGCCACATAGTGTATTATCTCTTACTTCTATAAAATATCCTGATGAGACATAGAGATGGGTAGTGGATCCATGCTCACTAGGCATTAGAAGGAAGTGTATATATGGATGAGGGTTAAAATGTACAGCAAGGAAGTGGCACTGTAACTTAACATGGTAGAATGCTAGCCATGAGCAAAAGCACTCAGAGATAGTGCCCAGGCCCGAAGTTCAAGCCCCACTGACCAATAAAAAAAGCCTGTAATCCTAGCAACTCAGGAGGCTGAGATCTGAAGACTGTGGTTTGAAGCCAGCCCTGGTAGGAAAGTCTGTGAGACTCATCCCCAATTAGCCACCAAGAGCTGGAAGTGGAGCTATGATAAAAAAAAAAAAAAAAATACAGTGCTAGCCTTGAGCGAAAAAGCTCAGGTAACAGTGCCCAGGCCTTGAGTTTAAGCTCCAGAAGCTCAGGTAACAGTGCCCAGGCCTTGAGTTTAAGCCCCAGAACTGGCGCACGCATGCACACAGACACACAACTGAAACTTTAAATGAGTCTGTTGTTTTGTATGAAAAAATACCTATGGATAAGGCTGAACACTGTTGGCTCAGGTCTGGAATCCTAGCTACTTGGGAGCATCTTCTGGCAGGAATTACTGTTGAAGGCCAGTCTGGACAAGTAAACTTTGTAAGATGGTATCTCAACAGAAAAAGCAGGGCATGCTGTTGCACACCTGTCATCTCAGCTATAGGAGGAAATGTAAATAGGATCATAGTGTAGCTCCAACAAAAAAGACCACATTTCAAAATAACCAGAGCAAAAACGACTGGAGGTATGGATCAAGTGGTAAAGTGCCTGCCTAGAAAGTGTGAAACTTTGAGTTCAAACCATAGTACCACTGAAATAAGAAGTGAGGAGGGAGCAGAAAGGGAGAAAAGGAGAGAAGGAAAGAAAGGTATTGAAAAAGAAATGTCCTGGCCAGGCATCGGTGGCTCATGCCTGTAATCTTAACTACAATGGAGGGTTAAATGTGAGGATCACGGTTCAATGTCAGCATTGGCAGGAAAATCCATAAGACTCTTACCTACAATAAACTACCCAGAAAAAGCAGGAAATGATGCTGTGGCTTAAAGTGGTAGCGCATTAATCTTGAGCAAAGAAGCTCAGGGACAGTGCCAAGCCATGAGTTCAAGTCCCAGGACTGACACAAAAAGAAAAAAAAAAAAGGAAACATCACTATAGCTCTAGCCAGCCCTTAGTCCTACAAGCCCATGGGTTCCATCCCCATCATTGCAGAAAAACAGAACCAGAACCCATCAACAATAACTCAGTTCTTTGTTGAGTTGGGGGTAGGTAGTTGGGGAGGTGAGAAACCATTGCCTACTTGGAGATTTAGGGGAGAAGGACTGACTGCTAGTGGGTAAAGGGCTTCTTCTGAAAGTTATATACATTTCATAAATTGACCATGGTGACAGTCGCACAATTCTATGAATATATTAGTAAGTATTCAATTGTGTATTGTGGGAAAATGATATATGAATTAAATAACAATAACTGTTAACAAAAATGTACCTTTCAAGGATAAAGTGATTTGAAATTAATGTATGTGCCTGTCAAAACAAACTATAACATTCTTTTAAGGAACATGTCAAAATATACACTAGCACCTTCAAGAATTAGAAGTCACCATTATGACTATCCTCAGTGGTTTGAAGGAAAATATTAACATAAAATAATAAAAGAAAAAATTAAGAAATGTCACATGTTCTGGATGGGATTAACAGAGGAATAGACTCTGAAGGGGGGAAAAACTACAAGATTTTTAATACTCGCTAAACTGTTGCTTATTCCATCCTGGAGCCTGTGTTGTGTCGAGAATCTGCCCTCACTCCTTTGGAGATCCTAGCCCCAAGTTCAGAGGGTGCATCATGTCCCAAAGGATGGTCTAGTAACCCCTCCCCCCCAGACCCCCTGCCAGCTTTCCCAGCAATCCTGCAAACCCTGGTGCTTTGTGACTTCAAATGCCACCTCATAATGTGAGAGCTCCATGTCATGCTGCACGAAGAAATTTACCAGGTACCAGTTGCCTTAGGACCAGACCTTTCCCCAACATCTGAGACTCCTCATCCTTTGCCAAGCGGGGCACTCATCCCCGCTGGTCAGGGAGAGGAGGGACTGGACTCTACAGCCTTTAACTTCCTGGCTGGTAGTACATGCCTGGGATGATCACATGGGATTGTCAGCGTCCAAGGCTGCCCTCGGGGCTACCACCGAAGAGCCCACGGAACCAGAGAGGAAACACCTTTCCAGTGAGTAACAGGCTGAGTTGGGGCAGCTCACACAGCTAGCGCAGCTTAAGTGTAATCAAACCACTGTTTTAATGTCAAATTCTAAAATTGTATTTAAATCACTTACAGGGGGGACTGGTGATGGGATAGCAAGTCAGGTTTCTTAGAATGTTCTGATTTTCCATGTCTACCCCACGTCTCCCAAATCAGTACATTCCTTGAGTCTTCAGAAATACAAGAAGCAGTCTATTGAGTATATAACCCTAAGGTATTTCTAATAAGGTTCATAGGTAGGTTATAGTGTCCACAAGAAGATTTTTGTGCCCTTGTGTGTATTTCTAAGGTGAAAGTTTTTATTCCAGTCATGGGACTTGAACTCTGGGCCTGGGTGCAGTCCCTGAGCTGTTCGGCTCAAGGTGAGTGCTCTACCACTTGAGCCACACCACCACTTCCAGTTTTCTGGTGCTTTATTGGAAATGAGTCTCACAGACTTTCCTGCCTGGGCTGGCTTTGAACCGCGATCCTGGGATCTCAGCCTCCTGAGTAGATAGTATTACAGGTGTGAGCCCCCATTGCCGGTCAAACTGTTTGATTCTTAAAATGTTGTTGCTTCAAATTCAGACTTCCAGCTGTCTCCACTGCCTATTGTTTCAGCTCCTAATAAGCAGTAACTCTATAAATAATATGATGTAAGTCCTAGTGCTGGCGGAATCTTCACAGCTGACCCACCCTCAAATTACCTCTCTATTTTGGTCTTTTATTTATTTTTATTTTTATTTTTGGGTCCGGTCGTGGGGCCTGAACTCTGGGCCTGGGCGCTGTCCCTCAGCTCTTCAGCTCAAGGCTAGCGCTCTACCACTTGAGCAACAGCACCACTTCTGCCTTTTTCTGCTTATGTGGTGCTGAGGAATAGAACCTAGGGCCTCGGGCATGCAAGGCAAGCACTCTACCACTGAGCCACCTTCTCAACCCCTTGATATTTTTTATTTTATTATTTATTTATTTATTTATTTATTTATTTATTTATTTTGGTCGGTCGTGGAGCTTGAACTCTGGGCTTGGGTGCTGTCCCTGCACTCTTCAGCTCAAGACGAGCACTCTGCCTTGACCCACAGGGCCACTTCTAGTTTTTGAGTGGTTTATTGGAGATAAGAGTCTCATGGACTTTCCTGCCTGGGCTGGCTTTGAACCATGATTCTCAGATCTCAGCCTCCTGAGTAGCTAGGATTATAGGAGTGAGCCACCAGCGCCCAGCGATATTTTATTTTAAACTTATCCAATGACTCCATCTATATTTGCCTTTTAACTTGTATCTTGTCATCATGAAATGTAATGTTGCAGTTGTATACATCATTAAATAGATAAGTTCAGTTATATTTTTTTTCAAATTTTGATAAGCATTATTCTGACCATGTAATCAATTCTGGGAAAATATATGCTATCCAGCCCTGGATGGTTATGTAATGTGTGCCAGAACAGACCCAAGGTGAACAGCAGTTAACTATGAAAAAGAGACAAGAAATGGGGAAAGGTGTATTTTACTTTATACCTTTATACCTTTGTACCAAAGGTTCCTACAACCTCAAATAATGGAGAAAAAGGAAACCTGCCAGGAGAATGTACAGAAAGGAGAATACTACACACTTCTAACTTAATAGAAAGGAAAGAATTTTATTCTACATAACTTTAAACATGAGGCAGCAGCTGGTATATTTGGTAATACATGAATGTGTGTGAATACTTAAGGTCAACCTGCTGCTGGGAAACATTAATTAAACACTTTTGTTTAGCATCTATCTTACTTTGTAATGGGAGTCTTAATTTTGAAAGAAAAAAGAACTTTGAATTGATAGTAGAGAATAATCACATACCAAGGGGAAATGAAATGATGGAAGTTAACTTTTCTGTTTTAATACCATTGTTTCTACGTTAGGCCTAGTAAAGTACATAAATGGAACAAATATGAATGCTGAACGACCATTTAATATTCTTCTGGAGAAAACTGGGAACTGCAGCTGGGTAGTGGTGTTCAAGGCACTAATTACAGTACACCACCTCATGATTCATGGAAACGAGGTAAGTTCAGTGTATACACCTAGAGCCATCATTGCCTTCCTTCGAGTACAAATAACTAAGTACAAAATTGAAAAATGTTTATTTCTTAAAGCCTTTCTTCCACTAATGACAAGTGGGGGTGAAATAGTATATACTGAAACATCTATTTCCTGCTTTTTTAAAAAATGAATCAGCCTTCTTTAAAGTACACCATTTACATGCTGCTAAAGTACTCACTGGTTATCAAACAGCAGAGTGGATATTTGTTGTTTAGACATCTTAGATAAATTAGACAAAAATCCCAATATTTGGCATTGCAAAGTGTGCCACATCATTACCTGTCAGCCGCGCCCCACACATCTACTCTTGCTATTTCACATATATCTTAATAGAACATAACAGAGATATCAAAAATAGAGCAACTATTATATGGGAGCTTGGTGATCCTAAAACATGAAAAGAATATTTTTTTGTGAGTTCTGTAGCTAGCACTCAGGGATTTGCACTTGCTTGATTTGCATGCTTTGCTAGCACTCTACCAATAGATCCATTCCTCTACCCTGGCTCTTTGCTGGTCAATTGGAGATAGAGTCCTGCAGACATTTCTACCTGGATTGGCTTCAAACCACAATCCTCCAGAACTTAGTCTCCTGGGTAGCTAGAATCACAGGTATAAGCCACCCATGCCCAACTGGGGAAAAGAATTTAAAGTCTATTAGCACAAATGGTGTTCCTACCAAAATAAAGTAGACTAAGATCCTTATTTTACTTCATATGCAAAAGATTGAAGAAATTTTCTGTGACATTAGGAAAGATTGATACCATAAAATTAAATGGACAACCAGGTGCCAATGGCTTACACCTGCAATCCTAGCTACGCAGGAGGCTGAGATATGAGGCATATGGTTCAAAGCCAGCTCAGGCTTACTTCCAATAAGCTACCAAAAGGCTGCAAGTGGAGCTGTGGCTCAAATGGTAGAGCATTAACTTTGAGCAAAAGAAGCTCAGGGATAACACCCAGGCCCTCAGTTCAAGCCTGTGAACTGGCACACACAAAAAAAGTTAAAAGGAATCCTGTGTGGTGAGACCAAAATAGGATACTGTTAAGGGAGAAATACAAAGGCACAATGCCTGTGTGCCTCTGCATATTAACATAAAAATATGTATTAAAACAAACTCTATATGGAAACAAGAGACCTCTCTTCTTTATTCATTTAATTTATTAACTTTTTATATTTTATTTTTTATGATTCTGTCTTCATTCCCTTATGTATGGTATATTTAAGTGTACATCTTCGGGCAGGTTGGGGGAGTACAGAACTTGGGGTAAAAAGGGTGAAAAAGTGCAGCAGTGGAGCTCACTGGACACTGGTTAAAGTGAACTGTAAAACTTGTGAGTGGAGATGGGAGGGAGGGACTGTGAGAGAAAGAGGGAACAGGAAGACACTGTGGAAAAGGAAATGTACTCTACCTGACTCATGTAAATGTAACCCCTTTGCACATTACCTCTACAATAACAATAAAGTAATTTTTTAAAAATTAAAAGGACACATTTAGAACATATACATTACAAACTAAAGACTAATAACACACAATTCTAAGAAAAAGGCAAAACCGTGAGTAAAAGTAATGAATAGAGAGTTCATGAAAAAGAAGACCAAATGGCTCAGAGCATACCCAAATTGGCAAAATTTAAAATATTACGATAGTGTAAAGAACTGAGAGGATTTTAATGAAATGAGAGCTCTCACATTCTGAATTGGGTGTGAATTAGCAGTTACTGCAGCTTACCACTTTGGAAAAGAGAACATTGAAACACCTTTAGTATTAAACAAGATGTATAACAACAATGTTGGATTTCACTCAACAACTTGTTTCTTCCATTTAAAATACAGTAGCACACACATATGTATATATGTGAAACTGTAAGGAAACAGATTGTAAAGATACTATGTTAAAATTATAATGCCAGTTACTTCTGATAGAGAAAAGAAATGGATCTTGGGGATGACTCCAAGGGTAATTTTATTTTAAATGTAATGCTTTATTACTCTTAGTATAAAAATATTCTCAAGGCAGGTTTGTCAAAACTCACATGCTGCCGGGCACTGGTGGCCCACGCCTGTAATCCGCCTGTAATCCTAGCTACTCAGGAGGCTGAGATCTGAGGATCATCGTTCAAAGCCAACCTGGGCAGGAAAGTCCATGAAACTCTTATCTCCAATTAACTACCCGAAAACTGGAAGTGGCGCTGTGGCTCAAGTGGTAGAGCGCTAGCCTTGAGCTGAAGAGCTCAGGGACAGCACCCAGGCCCAGAGTTCAAGCCCTATGACCTTAAAAAAAATGAAAAAAACTTAGATGCTGTCATTTCTACATAGCTAGAGCCTAGATATGTAAATTTTTTCTTTGTATTGTCTTGTACTATAAAATGACTCAAAAAGTAAAAGTATGGAATGATTAGACAGTCTTGGGGAAAGTATTTAACCTCTATTATTATTATTTAGCAGTATTATTATACCCTACCATTATTATTTACATGAGTAGGAAAGAACTGACAGTAGTGTAGATCATTATATGCAATCATGTTCAAGTTGCTTCTCCTAAAATAAAAACTGTGATAGAATTATATTAAATGTATAATTAAATTTATAATGACAAAAATCAATGAGCTTTCTTGGTATACAGAAACTAATTTTATAACTTGACACATTTGTTTGACAGCGTTTTATCCGTCATGTTGCATCTCGAAATTCTTTGTTTACTTTACACAACTTTCTGGATAAAGGTGTCCCAGAAGGTAGGCTAAATCTTTGGTGGAAATATTTCTGAGTGGCAAAGAGGAAAAACATTTAAAAAAATGTGAAGCTAAGAAATGTTTCTAAATTATAAATGTTATAACGTGTTGTACATTTTATGAAAGTAAATAACCTCTATATTTGTTAATATAGCACATTTGATTGCTTACTATGAATAACATAATATTCTGTTTTTAGATACATAAACATTAATGATACCTACATGGCCCTACTCAGTGAGACCTTGTTCAGCCTACCAAAAATTGTACCACAGCCTGTATGTCATTTCTCTACCTGAGTTATCTTCTTTCTACTTTTCACCATATATTTTGAGTTATTTCCTATGTCTTCACTAGAATGTAAAATCTATGAGGGCAGGGATGGTTCTCTTAGTTTGTTTACAACAAAAATTTCAATACTTAAAACCTAGGTATTGAGTGGCCTAGAGTGGGCACTCTAATTATTCAGTGAATGGATTAACTGTACAAATGTCAAGATATATTCAAAGATTGAGTAGTGAGAAGTTGAATTTATATCATGGCTTCTCTCTGATTTCTCCATGGAGTGAACAGCAATATCATTTGCTGAATGGAAAGAAGGAAGAAAAGGGAGGGTGGGGAGCACATGAGAACAGCAAGGGAAATGCTAAATATTTAAAATAGTCCGAAATACCAAAGGAGCTGATAAAGTTCAATTACTTCCTCTGTTCAGAAATGTAACCATCTTGCCACATGATAAATGGTGATACCAAGGCTTTAAGGCAATGAATACTATCTTGAACAGGATGTCAAGCTAGATGCTTACTAAGGGAATTTGTGCTTCAGAGATTTTGAGGTATACAGGAGAATGTGGACTGATAAGGGTTTTCATTTCTTGACATAGTATAAATCATATTGGTTGAATTGGAAATGATCAGCACATCTTATTTTTAGGTCCAACTATGTCAACCTTCATCAGACGATACAGCAGATACTTGAATGAAAAGTCACTCGTATATAGACTGATTGCATATGACATCACAAAATCCAAGAGAGGGTCAGTAAATAGAATTAGTTTTTAAGGAAAAACTAAAGTACTTAGTCCTTGTAATTTGCCAAAAAACACAGTTTGAAGTACCCAGTTTTTGGATGCCCCCTTACAGACCACCAGAGGCCACGATTAATGCAAACAACAAAGAGTTGGTTTATTACAAGCTTGAGCTTGGTTCTTCGCCCACTTGGTAACGGGTGAGAAACAAGTTTACAAGTTTAGGGGGGTTTAACACAAGCAGTTACATGATTGGTTAAAAATTGCATAGTACTGAGGTTTTGCTTTTGCTTGTTTTGTTTTTTGTTTTTGGTCGGTCATGGGGCTTGAACTCTGGGCCTGGGCGCTGTCCCTCAGCTCTTCAACTCAAGGCGAGCGTTCTACCGCTTGAGCCACAGCGCCACTTCTAGTACTGAGGTTTGAGTTTACCCTGACCACACATTTTTTTTTTTTTTTCTGGAACACTTGGGCAATTGCTCTGTTTTTTAAGGGTGGGCAGGGTTGGTGGCAACCTGCAGGTTTTTTTTTGTTTTTTTTTTCGAAAACTGTTCCTCTTTCGGAGTTATTCTGAGGGCAGCACAGCTACAAGTTGGTGGGGTTAATCTTAAAATGGAGTTATTTTAGCTCTTCATTCCCTCCTCTAATAAAGCATTGGGGACCAATTATGGTTCCCTAATTGGCACAGGTTTTTTTTGTTTTTTTTTTGGTTTATTTTTCTTCTTCCGGGCGTGGGGCCTGAACTCTGGGCCTGGGCGCTGTCCCTCAGCTCTTCAGCTGAAGACGAGTGCTCTACCACTTGAGCCACAGCGCCACTTCTGGCTTTTTTCTTTTTTTCTTATGTGGTGCTGAGGAATCGAACCAAGGGCCTCATGCATGCAAGGCAAGGGCGCTACCACTGAGCCACCTTCCCAGTCCCTTGCTACAGTTTTTTATATTTACAGTTTGGTATTGGGATTTTAGAACTAATAGCCTGCGCTGATTTTTTTTTTAACAAGGTTTAATTGTGAGTAACAAAATTAACAGTACCAAAGGCCCTTACATTTTTTTTTTTACCACTTTGACTTTGTGTATTACAGCTAACTTTAATTTTATACCAGCTGTACTTATAAGCTTTAATTTTTAAGATATACTTAGACCATTTGCTATATATTTAAACTTTTTGAGGTTTGTTTTTAAGACAATTTTTACTTTTTTTAATTTTATTTAGAGGATACCAATTTTTTTAATTCTTAAGGCTTTCTTTTAACTATCCTTTTTTTTTTTTTTTACAAGTTCTATTACAAGTTGCTAATGTCATGCTCCTTCACAAGCTGTTAGTGACTGGGGCTTATGAATTTCTTTTACCTTTTATAGGACAGATGGGGTGATGAGGACTATGAACACCAAAAAGCTGCTAAACATACTTCCAGTTATTCAAACCCAGTTTGATGCTCTTCTTAATTTTAATGTAAGTCTTATAAATCCCTTAAAATATTAATGGATGAAATAATTTAACTACACATAGCAGAAGGAGTTATTTTTAACCTTAGTGGTAATTGAATTACTATTTGATTTTTTAGGCAAGTCCCAATGAAATAACTAATGGAATAGTACGTGCTGCTTTTATGCTCCTCTTTAAAGATTGTCTTCGTCTCTTTGCAGCCTACAATGAAGGAATCCTTAATCTTCTAGGTAATGTAAAGCATAAACATTACTTTTAAAAAGAGGATTCTGAGTAAAGACTATTTGTAATTTTTTTGTCAGTCATGAGTCTTGAACTCGGCCTAGGCACTGTCCTTGAGCTTTTCCACTCAAAGCTAGTGTTCTACCACTTTGAGCCACAGTGCCACATTTGGTTTTCTGGTGGTTTATTGGAGACGAGTCTCACAGACTTTCCTACCCAAGCTGGCTTTGAACAATGATCCTCAGATCTCAGCCCCTGAGTAGCTAGGATTATAGGCAAGAGCCACTGGTGCCCAGCTTGTAAAAATCTTTCTACCTTCAGATTCATATTTGCTATAGATTCAAAACTGAAGATCATTGCAGAATCACAAAAATGTTTAAGTAATGAGATATTATAGTGCCTTTTTACCTAAATAGTATTTGGTTAATTAGGCAAAGACTTTTACATTTTTAATATAAATATTAAGGAATATATCTGTGGAATTACCAGATAAGAAACAAGGGGTGTTATATTTCTACATATTAAAGCCTATGTCCACCAAGGTCAAAGAATACTGTTCTGACTTTTGTATTTTTTATTTGTTAGGCAAGTATTTTGACATGAGGAAGAACCAATGCAATCAGAGTTTGGATATTTACATCGCGTTCCTTGCAAGAACAACCAGATTGGCACAGTTCCTGAAGGTTGCTGAGGTACAGAAACTAGTTTCTGTCAAAGGAATTTTTTGCTGTTTTGTGCATTGTTTTAGTACCCTATCAGCAGAATGACTCCAAAATTAAATCAAAATGGACATGACATAGTCTTTACAGGAGGTGAACAATACCTACAACAGGTCTTTAGATAGTAATAGAAATACCTGAAGTAAGCTTACGTTTTTCCTGATGCTCATAAGGACACAAACACATTAAATACAGAAAGAACCACTCCTAGACAATAATGGTGAAACATAAATCCAAAGAGAATAATAAACACATTTCACTCAGAAAAACAACAACATGAATAATGACCAACTCTTGAAATATTAAAAATTAGTACAGATTTGTGGATAGGTGCTGGTGGCTCACACCTGTAATCCTAGCTATTCAGGAGGCTGAGATCTGAGGATCATGCTTGGAAGCCAGCCTGGGCAGAAAAGTCCACGAGACTCTTATTTCCAATTAACCAGCAAAAAAAAAAAAAAAAAAAACAGAAGTGGTGCCATTGCTCAGTGGTAGAGCACTGGCCTTGAGCAAAAAGGCTTAAGGTCAGGGCCCAGGCCCTTAGTTCAAGCCTTCCAACTAACACATAAAATAAAATTTGTATACATTTGTATGAGAGCTGAAATACAGCTTACCTCTTATCTAAATTAACAAAGACTTAATACTTTACAAGTCTTTTAAAGTCTATTCTTGTGTATATATGTATACACACACACACACACACACATTCTTTTATTTTGCCTGTCCTGGGGCTTGAACTCAGGGCCTGGGCACTGTCCCTGAGCTTCTTTTGCTCAAAGTTAGCACTTTACCACTTGAGCCACAGCCCCACTTTTTCTGTTTATGTGGTACTGAGGAATCAAACCCAAGGCTTCATGCATACAAGGCAAGCACTCTACCACTAAGCCACATTCCCAGCTCCACAAAGTATATTTTTGCCTGACATGTTTTTTCTTGACTGAAGGTAAGAAAATGTCACATTGTTTGGTATACTTTCTCTTTTGTGTATGATGATCTCTCTGTTTTAGTTGCCATTACCTGCTGTAATGTGTATTGTCCCCTCTTTTTTGTGAATTCAGGAAGTTGGAATTCATCAGAGCAACATTCCGTATCTTACTCAGGTCAGTGACTTACGTATTTAAGTATTTTTTGCCCATTTGTATGTCTACCATTGTATGTTATTGCCGGAGCCTGCCAGCAACGAAAGGGAATCCTGAATTAGGGGGCGAGGATGCGGAAAAATAAAGACATAAGACAAAGGATGGGGTCAGGAGGTCTGCAGCTCAAGACTGCAGCACCGTTTATTTTTAACTTTCCCTAATATATACTATTAGAAGTCAAGAGGTAACATAAGGTTACAATAGTCCAGAAAAACAAGGAAAATTTCAGTAAAAACAGGACAAGGTCAACTGGTAGAAAGTAAAACAAACTCTGCAGGACATAGCAAAGCAATCCCAGGCACCTGGTGTTTTTAAGTAAGCCAGTTCCTTGTACATGCCTTCAAGTGAGCACCAGGGTCAAGATGACCTTTAAACTTTACTGTCGGCTCCCAACATGTTATATTTGTATGCCTATTTGAAGGTGTACTATATTAACCATCATCTGAGATTCCATCTTTTGTTTATGCTTACATGCCTGTCTTTTTCTTTCCCCATAAACAATATTTTCACACACACAGTGTATCACAGTAAGATAGCTATATCATGTGTTTTAAAAGGAAGAGCTCACCAGTAGAAATAGCAGAGTATTTTGAATAACAGACTTAGGTTAAGGATTGTTTTATCTACATTTTAGGTGTGTGATTTGAAGCAACTGATTTTCATTATCTGTTCCCCCTTTTCTCTTTCTTCCTTTCCTTCTTTCCTTCTTCCTTTCCTTCTTTCCTTCTTTCCTTCCTTCCTTTCCTTTCTTTCTTTCTTTCTTTCTTTCTTTCTTTCTTTCTTTCTTTCTTTCTTTCTTTCTTTCTTTCTTCCTTTCTTTCTTTCTTTCTTTCTTTCCTTTCTTCCTTTCTTTCTTTCTTTCTTTCTTTCCTTTCTTTCCTTTCTTTCTTTCCTGTGCTGATACTGGGGCTTAAACCCAAGGCCTTGTGCTCTTGTTTGGGTATTTTGCTCAAGGCTGGTATTCTACCACTTGAATCACACTTTCACTTTGGCATTTGCTGGTTAATTGAATTTAAGAGTCTTGAGGACATTTCTATCTGGGCTGACTTTGAACCATAATCCTCAGATCTCAGCCTCTTGTATAGCTAGGATTATAGGTGTGAGCCACAACCAACTCTGTTCCTCATTTTTACACCTGCAAAAGCATATGATGTTATTTTCTATCCCTTAACAACATTGAAAGGATCAAATGAGCTCAGACTTTTCCTTCCCCAGAAACTCGACATGAGTGAGTTTGATGGGGATGGGACCATTGCCCCTGTATCCTTTACATGTGTTTAAATGGTCACTATTTTCTGCTGTCCTCTTGGGAAGCTATTTGTTTGCTTAGAGAGAGGGGCTGTTTCAAAGACAGGATATCAGCTGATCTTTGAAACAAGGACTCATGCATGGACGGTAGGCAAGTAGTCTTAGTTTTCACTAAGTTGTCTGGTTTGTCAGGGACCTTACTCAGTAGCCTAGACTGGCCTGGGACTTAATTGTCCTAGGATTATAGGCATAAACCACAACGCTCCAATCCCAGCTCATCATTAAGATGAGTTGATTCTAATTATAAGTCTAGAGGCCAGGAAGAGAGGTAGGGCAGATCTTGATGAGTTGTGTTACTTGTGTAGAAGCCTGTGTATCTTTTCCAACTAAGGGAATAGCAGAGATTTCTGGGGGAATCTGGAGACCCTGGACTTTCACATTCTTCCCTTTAGATGTTCCCATCTTATATAGCAAGGCCTTTCTTGCTTAAGACTGAAGAATGAAAGGCTGCTGGAGACAACACATGTAGAATGCTCAGTGTCTGATTCAGGTGGCAATTTGGGGTATGAGGAAAGCTTGTGGGGAGAGAAGGTGTTGGTGTGGAAGGGAAGAGTGGTAGAAAATTAAGTGTGGTACTTTGGGAAAAGGGAGATTATAGAACCCAGAACACAAGTGGAAGTAGTGGCCACAAAGAGGATGAGGGAGTAGGAATAGAGAATGGTTATAGATGTAAATGAAGCATTGTTTGGTGGCCCACAAAAATGTAGTTTCTGCCTGATGGCTCAAACATCTTTGAAAGCAGGAAATGTGTTCTGTCAAACATTGGGATTTGCACACAGATATTAAACCCTAAGAGTGGTACACTGGTTAAATAGTACATGGCTTCCTGAAGGAGTGATCAGATTACCCCAGTGTGGAGACACTGGTACAATGAAAATGTTTGGGTTAGTACAGAAGATAAAAGACACAATCTCAAGTTCCTGGGTTCAGAAGATGGACCAAGTACTAGAGAAGCATGGCTAAGTGTCTGTTATAATGTAGTACTCTGATATTTCCCTTGCTTCCCTGGGGGAAGTCTTGGAGGCAGGAAGAGGTCTTTTGGTGAGGCTCTTGTTGGTGAATGTTCATGCAGATCCCCCATACATTCATCTGCGAATCTGCCCAAGTTACCAAAAGAGCTTCCTTATCAGTACACTGGCCTCTACCCTCAGCCAGTACAGTTACTTTGTCCTGGCCAACAGCTTTCCTGGAAACTCCAAAGTGGAATGAATGCAGGGCAATGTGAGGGAATGGAAAGGTGAGAACAAAGCCAGTCCCACAATGCTCCTGCCAGGAAATCTCCTTGACAGAGGTCTGCGAAAACAATGCCGTTTGAAGGAGCTTTTGTCAGCTAGGCCATGGCTAGATACCATGGAATGGGAAGGGGTAGCCACTCTTTCTGTGATGGTGAATTGTTTCCAACAGTTTTTACCTTTTGTGAATTAAGGGTAAACTGCTAAACTGCTCACCATTTGAGAAATCCCTTCTGGATGTTATACCTCTAAGGAGGAAATTTGCCTCATTCCCTCAGTTAATACTTTCTGCCTTAACTTGTGGCCATGTGGTTTGTCTGTATGTCTGTTGCTCTCCTTTCCACTCTTCCCTGCAGTTCCTGGTATACAGAACTTCCACAAATGTGTGCGTCAAGGTCTGCTCTGCCTGTGATCCAGTGTACCATACTCCACACTAGAGCAGTTCAAACATAATGACTCTGGGCCATGGTAGTTGTCAGAGGTGCAGGGGTTGCTAGCCAGTTTGGCCATAGTGTGTGCTTATATGTATTTCCCTCACTTAGCACAGCAGCTTCATGGTTTGGTGCAGAAGTGTCTTAATGTTCATTTGAAAGTATTTGTAATAATATAATGGATTATGAGTTTCTAAACCTATCAAAGATTAACTATTTTATAATCATTTTAGGCTCCTCACAGTTTAATTGAAGCACTAAAACAGCATTTAGCTTCTTTGGAAGACAAGAATGATATCTTGCCTCCTTATAGGTAAGCTAATAAATGTCTCAATAGAGGTAATTTTCCCCTCAGCTTAAATTATGAAATTGCCTAAGTAAAGGGCGCTGTCTATCTATTCCCTTTGGGGCACTTATAGGAGGATATATGTGTTTCTATTTATCGTTCTTGTGATCTCTTTAGTCTCCAGCATACATTTATCCCACTCATCCCAAAGAGTCCAGTTGTGGAAATTTCAGCAAGCAGAGTTTTGTTTTCAGGTAATATGACATTATTTCATGATTACATCAGTGATCATTGAAGACAGGATTAGAATATTTATTTCTTCCACTCTTCAATCTATCTTTTCCTGAAGCATATATGCATACTTATGAAGTGCTTGGTTTTCTGTAACAATTGAGCAAAGTATACAAATTATAGTATACTACCATCTTTGCATTTTCGAACAGAAACACACACACACACACACACACACACACACACACACACTTCTAGAGAGATATGTAAGAATGAGTTAAAACAAGCTGCCTCTCAGAAATGTCTGGCTATTCATAAAAGAGATAGAAGGAGAGTCTTCACTGAATACCCTACATGAACTTCATACCTTGGAAATAATTACTTGTTAATCTGTACATTTTATGAAGAAAATATTCACATGCATACAAAGTGACATTTTGGACTGTTTGAGGTAGAAATCTTTTATAGTCCATTAAGGTTAGTTTAGTTTATATAAACTTACAAGAGTCAGTACTTTTTTAAGAATTTTGCTTGGTGATTGGTGTCATGTTGATAGTCTGAAATTGGCCATGATAGTAGCATTTATACTATAGAAATGGGCAAAGCCAACCTGGCGCTGGTGGCTCACGCCTATAATCCTAGCTACTCAGGAGGCTGAGATCTGAGGATCAGGGCTCAAAGCCAGCCCGGGCAGGAAAGTCGGTGAGACTCTTATCTGCAATAAACCACTAGAAAACCAGAAGTGGCGCTGTGGCTCAAGTGGTAGAGCACTAGCCTTGAGCTGAAGAGCGCAGGGACAGCACCCAAGCCCAGAGTTCAAACCCCACGACCGACCAAAAAAAAAAAAAAAAAGAAATGGGCAAACCCTGGCTGGGTGCTAGTGGTTCACACCTGTAATCCTAGCCACTCCAGAGGCTGAGATCTGAGGATCGCAGTTCAAAGCCAGCCAGGGCAGGAGAATCCATGAGACTCTTATCTTTAATAAACTGCAAGAAAAGTGGAAGTGGTGCTGTGGTTCAAAGTGGTAGAGCACTAGCCTTGAGCACAAAAGCTCAAGGACAGCTCCCAGGCCCTGAATTCAAGCCTTACTATTGACAAAGAAAAGAAAAGAAAAGAAAAAGAAGAAGAGAAGAGAAGAAAGGAAAGAGAGAGAAAGAAAAAAAGAGAGAGGAAGAAAGGAAAGAGAGAGAGAAAGAAAAAAGAGAGAGAGAAAGAAAGAAAAAGAGAAAGGAAGGAGATAGGTGGAAAGAAAGAAAGAAAAGGAAGGAAGGAAGGAAGGAAAGAAAGAAAGAAAGAAAGGAAAGAAAAAAAGTAAAGAAAAAAAGAAAAAGAAAGGAGCAGCCTTCAGTATTGTTTTGGTCTTCATTGTATCTGGAGAGCTGTTTGTTCGATATTTACTGGCATGTGGCTTCTCATAGACAGGCATATTTTGTTTTTATTTAATGTGTTATTTTGTGTCTTTGATGTTAGATGATTCTTTACTCATTAATAGACAAATCCATGTATTAATGAGCTATAATATCATGATTTTATATATTTAAATAAAATTCTGTTCCTAATTTAGCTTTGAGACTTTAACTGCATGTATTTTAACTGTAATTTGTTCTTATTTTTCTTTTGTATATATGTATATATTTCAATGGATATATCTTCTGCATTTTTAATGGGTGAGTCTGACCAAAATTATGATGAGTATAAATCTTTTGCATAAAGTCATATGTATAGCAAAGACATTTGCTTAATTTCTCAAAAAAAAATGATCACTCACTTTTTTGAATCTCTGTGGTTTAGGACTCAAATTTCAAAAAATATCATTTTTGAAGCAATATATTTCAAAAATATCATTTTAGAAAAAGTATATTATAATCATTAAATACCTTTCTGGGTATAGACATATGTTAAAATTGGCAATACATATTGTTTTCTTTAACAGTAGTGAAAAATTCATTGCAATTAAACAACATGGTGGTACATGTCCATAATTCCAGCACTTAGGAAGCTAAGATAGAAGGATCATAAATTCCAAGCTATCATGGCTTGCATAGCAATCTTAAAGAAAGGTTGGGCTTATATTTTGCTACAGACCTTGTTTCAACACACCCACCCCCTTACCCCCCCCCCCCACACACACATAACAGGCATTGTATCTCACACTTATAATCTCAGCTACTTGGGAGGGAGAGGTTGGGAGGAGCACGGTATGAAGTAGCTTAGATGAAAAGATTACGAGACTGCAAAAACAAAAAATAGAGTATGATGGTACATGCTATAATCTCAGGCAAGTTGTAGATGTAAGTACTAGTGCTAAAATATTATGAACATATTCTTACCTGTTCTAAAACTTATTTTTCTTGGTAATTTGCTATCTCCAATAGGATATAAACACAGAAAGACAGATTTTTTTTTTTTTATCCTTTTTTTTGGCTTCCTGCCATGTCAATAACTGCTGCCACTTTAGTACCTTGTACAGTGTCTGGTGCATGAAAAGTGCTCAATTACAACTGAACAGCTTGGGCTGGGAAGGTGGCTCAGTGGTAGAGTGCTTGCCTTGCATGCATGAGGCCCTGGGTTCGATTCCTCAGCACCACATAAGCAGAAAAAGCCAGAATTTGTGCTGTGGCTCAAGTGGTAGAGCACTAGCCTTGAGCTGAAGAGCTGAGGAAGAGCACCCAGGCCCAGAGTTCAGGCTCCACAACCACCAGAAGAAAGCCAAAACAAAACAAAAAACTGAGCAACTAATTTAAAGTTTGTACTCTTTTATGCAATCATTTGAACTCCTGTTACTTTGCAATGGGTAGATATTTATATATGTTTATATTTTCATTTCATTTTCTGTATTCAGATTATTTCTGCTGCATGCTATGTGGCATTATCTTCACAAGTTCCCAAGTCTGTTGGAGGCAGTCAGCAAGGTGAAACAAGCAGAGCAAGAAACTCACATGACTCACTGGCTGGCCTTGCAGAAAGTAATCATCTGTTTTCACAATCAATCTTTTACATATTAAATATTTGAAATAAAACAGTACATAAAAATAATATAAACTTTGTGTTTGTTTTTTGAAACAGGTCTTAACTTTGGAGAAAGCCCTGTCAATGAGTAAGTTTGTTTTTGCTTTTGTTTTTACTTAAACAAGATACCAGATATATATCAGAGGAAGGGACTCATAAGAGTCACAACTAGAAAATAATTTTAAATCAGATATAGTAAGTACTTGTTATAAAATTATAACATGTAGATTTTTACTTAAAATGGAGAATTTGCTATATTCTGTCTCCTGAAAGTAAAATTCTTTGTTAAAATATACTATATTACATAGTTTCTACCCTGTGATAATCTGTTCTGGGTTCATATAAAAGATTTTCTTTTTCTGAGTATGTTTAAAAAAAATTGACATTCTTCATAGTCTTTTGTATTCTTGGTTCTTTCCTTATTTTGTGATATATACCATATTACATGAATGATGCTTATTTTGAAGCAAAGACAACAAAATTACCAGCTATAACTCCTGAGTAAGATAATCAGTTATTTCAGTAAGAAAATTTCAACCACAAATCAAAAGGAAAGTAAGAAGGAGAGCTGGGGCTCAAGTGGTAGAGTGATAGCCTTGAGCAGTAAAACTCCGGGACAGTGCCCATGCCTTGAGTTTAAGTCCCAGGACCGGAAAAAAAAGGAAGCAAGGGAAAAAAGATAGTTTCAATTCTAGGTCATAGATAAAAGGGAATGTCTCCCAGTCTCTCCTTTCCTTTTTTGCTTTAGGTATTTTTTCAGTTAGAATAACATGTGTTTGCCTGCAGGCCAGCTTTAAACCACAGTCCTTCAGTATAGATGGTTTCCCAGATACACACACACACACACACACACACACACACACACACACACACACACACACTCGGGCTAGTCCTGGGGCTTGAACTTAGGGCCTGCGTGCTGTCCCTGAGCTAATTCCAGTCTTTTTTTGGAAATGAGTCCCACAGGTTTTTCTGTCTGTGCTGGCTTTGAAGCATGATTCTTATATCTCAGGCTTCTGAGTAGCTAGGATTACAGGTATGAGTCACTGGTGCCTGACCAACCTGTAGTTTTGTAGTACTAAATCTTGCATTTAAGTACAATTCACTTTGAATTGATTTTTATATATAGTATGAGAATAAGGTCTGATTTTTTTGCATTTGGATATCTAGTTTCCCCAATATCATTTATTAAAACTATTTTCCTTTTTCTATTAGAACTGACATGAATCAGCATCAGGTTTCAGAGAAGGAAATGATTGATGGAATGACCTGGCAGTTAAACACCTGCACATGCACATCAAGCATCTGGGATTCCATTTCTGCTCCTAGCATGGTAAAAACCTATGCTGTATAATTGCTTTAATTTTTTAAATAAATATGATGTAGAATATAATGTAAATATTTGTATTTAAAAAAGGAGAAAGTAGAGGTGTGGCTCAAGTGGTGGAGCATTAGCCTTGAGTGAAAATCCCAAGTGAAATCATGTGAGTGGGGATTGGAAGGTGGCTCAGTGGTAGCACCCTTGCCTTGCATGCATGAGGCCCTGGGTTCGATTCCTCAGCACCACATAAGCAGAAAAAGCTGGAAGTGGCGCTGTGGCTCAAGTGGTAGAGCACTAGCCTTGAGCTGAAGAGCTGAGGGACAGCGCCCAGGCCTAGAGTTCAGGTCCCACGACCGGACCCCCGCCCCCCCCCCCCCCGACAAAAAAAAAAGAAATCATGTGAGTTCAAGACCCATTATCAACCTCCGAATAAGTAAATAAATAAACGTATATGAAAAGTAGTTAGAGAAAGAATAAATAAACTTGATTTCCAGAGCTTTTTGTAGTTGAGATTTGCACAGGTCTACATCATTTATTTTAAATCCACCGAGTCAAATGTGTGTGTGTGTGTGTGTGTGTGTGTGTGTGTGTGTGTGTGTGTGTGTGTGTTTGCCAATCCTGGGGCTTGAACTCAGGGCTTAGGCACTGTCTCTGAGCTTCTTTTGGTTAAGGCTAACACTGTACCACTTGAGCCACAGCACCACTTCCAGCCTTTTCTGTCTATGTGGTACTGAGGAATTGAACTCAGGGCTTCATGCATGCAAGGCAAACACTCTACCACCAAGCCCCATTCCCAGCCCTCAAATGGTGTCTTGGAATTTAAAAATATAAAGCATGATTAAGAAGCTAGCAAAATAATTATAAAGAAAGTTTTTAGAGACCTCGAATATAGGAATAGTCTGTTATAATTATCCAGGTGTTTATTATTATTGTTTTTCCTGCATTCCTCATATCCCAAGTGTCTTTCTGGTATCATCTCCCTTTAACCTGAAGAACTTTCATGAATAATACTGGCAATTCTGATGTTAACAGTTTTGACTATGAATCCTTATATTTTTTCCATTTGAGAATAGCTATATTTCACCTCGATTCTAAAGCAAATTTTCAATGAATATAGAATTCCATATTCATTTTTTTTTTAAATCGGCACCTAAAAACTATGTCACTTCATTCTGGCCTCCATTGATTTCTGAGGAAATCTATAGTCATCATTCTCCAATTGGGATTGTGTTATTTTCCTGTGTCTGAGTTTAAGATGTCTTTCTTTACTTTTCACTTATGGGAGTTTGTGATATAGCTTGGCATAAATTTGGGAGGGGGCATTTATCCTCTTTTGGGGTCATTCACCCAAATTTGCATTTTATGTCATTTGCCTAACTTGAGAATGATTAGGGAAATTTTCTGCCATTATTTCTTCAAATACTTGTAAAAAATCATTATACTCATTCTCTCCTCATATTTCATTAGACATTGTCCCACCGATCCTTGAGACTTTTTGATTCTTGGAAATATTTTTATTTTTCTGTTCTTTATACTAGATAATTTCCTTTGGTCTATCTTCTATATTAGATTTAGTCCATGCTGTATATTAGATCTAGTCAGTGAGCTAAGAAAATTCATAAATAGGTTCCCTCTGATTTATTCCAGTTTCCTGGTCATAGCTTTACTTAATCACTTCAGTGACTGATAAGTCAAGATCTAAAATGGTGATAAAAGAATTTAAAAGAAATCCCTTTTTATTAGTGTTCCTGCTTTCATGAAGTCATAGCTGCACCTGATAAAAGAGAAAACTCTTCTCTGTCAGATATTTAGCTCTTACGAAGATCATTGTGTTTTTGTGTCTTGTTTATTTTACTCAACACAATATCTTCAAGGTTTACCCACTTTACAGTATGTGTCCAAAGGTAATTCTCATAGATTTAATGGACAAATAGTAATTGTACATTTTTACTGAAGTATAATGTGATGTTAAGAGGTATCATGCACTATGGAAAGACTGTAAATAAGGCTTCATCTCCTTGATTTTTTTTTTTGTGATGAAAATATTGAAAAATCTGTTCTTCTAGCATTGTAGGAAGAAGTATTAATAGTACACTGGCTGGCAGGCCTTCGACCAGGAGGAATTTGTCATATTATACGAAGTGTTTGGGAGTAAAGGCTGTGAGCTGGGTACCAGTGCTCATGCCTGTAATCCTAGCTATACTCAGGGGACAAAGGACTGAGGATCGTCATTGAAGCCAGCCTGAGCAGAAAAGGCAGGGAGACTCTTATCTGTAATCAACCACCAGAAAAGCCAGAAGTGCAGGTGTGGCACAACTGGTAAATTGCTAGCCTTGAACAAAAAAAGCTTAGGAATATCACCCAGGCCTCAAGACTGACACACAAAAAATAAAAGAGTACAGGCTGCTTTGCTAGACTGCTTGAGTTTGAAATTAGGTGGGAGTCTACTTAATATCTGTATGAACTTGGATAAGGTTTGGAACCTCCCCATGTCTCAGGGTTTTTTACCTGTAAAGTAAGGATAAAATAGCACTTATAGAATTGTTGTAAGGATATATGTAAAGTACCCAGAATAGTTTCTCGGTCACATAAGTGCTTTAAATATTAGCTAGTAATGTAGTGCTGGTGGTGATAATGACAATGATAGATGATAGCAATTTTGTGCCACAGTACTCTTACCCACTAGTACATGAGACATGAACCATTAAATTGAATCTCGTTAGCTCTCAGGTAAGGTTGTAGAAATAAGAAAGCAAGTAGAATGATAATCACCCCAAGTAACAATAATGAAGATAGTCTAGGAAGATTATGAACACACTGGGCATTATAGATTTTTCTAGAACTTCACATCACTTTATTATTACACTGTAGTGAAATTCTCATTAGATAGTAGCAGAAGTTATACTATACAGTAATTGGGACTTTGCTTCAAAGTACTACCTCCAGTGGCTTATTCAGGGACTCTAAAGCAATTGCCTATATAGAGAGTGGTTTAAAAACTCCAAGATAGCCCCACCACAGATGAATGCATCCAAAAATTGTGGTATCTATACACAATGGAATATTATGCAGCCATTAGAAATGACAAAATAATGGCATTTGCAAGGAAATGGATGGAGCTAGAAGGAATCATGTTGAGCGAGGTAAGCCAAGAGCAAAGAGACAAACGGTACATGGTCTCCTTGATAAGTGGATGTTAAATCCAAAATGTTAGGTGATACTACAAAATTAACAGGACTTAAGAAACAAAGAACTTCCACTCATCTGATCGAACCACTACTAAATATCCCCAGGCTGCTGATCACATGTATGGTGTATATGTGTACACCGTTATATATTATAGACTGTGATAGACAATTTGCTCCAGGAAAGTTAGAATGAACTTGTGATGAGCATCATTATTCTACAATACTGTGAAATTTGGGAAATTATGTAATCACTTAACCACACACACAAAAAAAAGAACCTCGGGGAAGGTAGCGAGGGAAGGTATAGTAGGGGGAAAACAATGGAGAGGGTAACAATGCCCAATAGGAAGTGTACTCATTACCTTACTCATGTAACTGTAACTCTCTGTATAGTATCTTTACAATAAAAAATAAAAAAAAGAAACAATAGCAAGAAAGAAAAAAAAATAAAAACTCCAAGATAGAAGGGAAGAGGTATGGAAGAAGGGAAGGAGGGAAGGGGAGAGGAAGGAAGGGAAGGAAAGGGAAAATGGAGAATAAAGAATAAAATATTTTTGTAGCTGAGTGCCAGTGGCTCACTCCTGTAATCCTAGCTATTCAGGAGGCTGAGATCTGAGGATCAAGGTTCAAAGCCAGCCTGGGCAGGAAAATCCGTGAGACTCTTATCTCCAATTAACCACCAGAAAACCAGAAGTGGTGCTGTAGCTCAAGTGGTAGAGTGCTTGCCTTGAGCTGAAGAGCTCAGGGACAGCGCCCAGGCCCCAGAGTTCAAGCCCCTTGACCAACCAATATGTGTGTGTGTGTGTGTGTGTGTGTGTGTGTGTCTGTGTGTGTATACATATACATATTTTTAAAAACCTTCTGTGATATTAAGGTGTGAATGTGGTTAAAACTCTTTATGATTTACACTGATACATGGCCAGGTTCCAAGTGCCAAAGGGAGTGTGGCAGATTTCATGTTAGACATCAGTAATCCAAGTACCTGTATTAGAATAACAAAGTTTGAGGCAAAAAGTATGGATTACAGAGTGAAAATTATGAAGGACCAGATGAAAAGCCAGATTATTTCCCAGAATCTTTTTCCAAGTAAGCATGAATGATGAATGGAGCTGATAGGAACCAGGCACAAAATAGGTTCCAGCACTGGCTAGACTACAGAATGGAAATTACACTCCTTAGTCACAAATAACTATAGACTCAGATGGATTGAATGAGATATGTACACCTAGGTTCTCTATATTCCAGAGTATACCATCTGGTAGTGTCCTTGTCCACAGTTCTACAGATTGTTTGATTATATTTTATTTATTATCTGTTCCAATGTATATGTTATTGACATATTCAATGAATATGCCATTCACAGCATTTTCATTTGCAACCTGTGTTACCAGCACTCAGGAGTCTGAGGCAGCAATATCACAAGTTTGAGGCCAACCTGGGCTATATAATGAGACTCTGTCTCAACCCCCACATTCAAAAAAGATGAAGACCAAGAACATAGCCTTGCAGTATATCACCAGACACTGCCCAGCAGGTCAACACTTTAATCATTAACTTTGTTTATGAGTCAATTTGATTGTTTTTTGTTTATCTAGTTCTTGAGTAAGTCCATATTGCTTCAGCAAAAAAACATCCAGTAGTTAGAAAGAGAAGCACTGGGCTTGGTAAACAATGTCTAGAGATTACACACTCATTAATGGTCCATTTATTGGTCAGTCTTTTATTAATGAGTCTGTGTACCTTATTTATGTTTTCTTCTTTAAATATCCTTTCATTTTGGGGATGAATTTTAATATCTGAGTTCATTAGTCCTCTGTTGATACAAACTAGAGATGTCAAAGTAAGAATAGATGGGCATTAATTTTCAGACCTAAATGCCTTTGACTTGATGTGCCTGCTATCTCTCACTCATTTCACTTCACAAATACTACACATCCTTTACATTTAACATTGAATTGGCCCTACTAAGTCATGTATTAATTTCATCACCCCCCCACACACACCTCACAATGTAGAGTACCCTACAGTAGCATTTTGTACATCATAAAAAGACACAGGCCAGGCACTTCTGGCTCACACCTGTAATTGTAGCTACTCAGGAGGCTGAGATGTGAAGATTAGGGTTTGAAGCCAGCCTGAGTTTCAGTTACTGAAATAAAAAGTCCTTTTTCTGGGGCTGGGAAGGTGGCTCAGTGGTAGAGCGCATGCCTTGCATACCAGAGGCCCCTGGGTTCAATTCCTCAGCACCACATAAGCAAAAAGAAAAAAGCCAGAAGTGGCACTGTGGCTCAAGTGGTAGAGCGCTAGCCTTGAACTGAAGAGCTGAGGGACAGCGCCCAGGCCCAGAGTTCAGGCCCCATGACTGGACCCAAAAAAACAAACAAACAAAACAAAAGTCCTTTTTCTTTCTTTCTTTCTTTCCTTCCTTCCTTCCTTCCTTCCTTCCTTCCTTCCTTCCTTCCTTCTTTCTTTCTTTCTTTCCTTCTTTCTTTCCTTCTTTCTTTCTTTCTTTCTTTCTTTCTTTCTTTCTTTCTTTCTTTCTTTCTTTCTTTCTTTCTTCTCTTTCTTTCTTTCTTTCTTTCTTTCTTTCTTCTTTCTTTCTTTCTTTCTTTCTTTCTTTTTGCTGGTCATGGGGCTTGAACTCAGGGCCTGGGTGCTTTCCCCTGAGTCTGTTTGTGTTCAAGGCTAGTGCTCTACCACTTGAGCCACAGCTCCACTTCTGGTTTTCTGAGTAGTCTATTGGAGATACGAGTCTCATGGGCCACATGGGCTGGCTTCGAACTCTGATCCTCAAATCTCAGCTATTTAAGTAGCTAGGATTACATGTGTGAGCCACCAGCACCATTCATTAAAAGTCCTTTGCAAAGGTTTGTTTGTAGGTACTACTTTGTAGTTAATTCATCCTTGATTTTCAAGAAATATTACTTGGGACTTCCTCCTTACACTTGATTGTTACTAGCTTCTTCAAAGATCTATTTTTCTTTTCCTTTGTACTTGGCATTTAACATTTCTTTCAAGTGATAATCATTAAATGCAATGTTCACTGTACAGAGGAAACTTGTCCTCTTAGTATGATTATATTAGGAAAGCAATTAAAAACTAATTATGTTTTTTACTTTTTTCTTTATTCAAATTCATAGGTTCAAACTCCCATGGGATCTCCTTCCCTAATGGCATATCAACCCATGGTTTATACCCAACAAGGCTTGAATTCCAGTAGCCTTTCCATCTCATTCTCAGGACCTCAGGTACATGACCTGTTATTGCTTAGGGCCTTGATAGATAAAGAAGTCCTTGAATACAGAACCCAATGTTATAATGAAGTTTTAGAATGTATATATCTTTTGCTTAATATTGGTCTTTCATAGAAGAAAAACTAATTCTGGCATTTTGTGCATCATAGACAAAGGCCAGGTGCTGGTCTCATGCCTGTAATTGTAACTACTCAGGAGGCTGAGAGCTGGGGATTGTGGTTTGAAGCCAGCCTGGGTAGAAAAGTCCCTGACACTTTTATCTCCAATAAACCACTTAGAAAAGGCAGGAAGTGGCACTGTGGCTCAAGTGGTAGAGCACTAGCCTTGAGCAAAAGAAGCTCAGGAACAGTACCCTAGTCCCTGAGTTGAAGCCCCAGGACTGGCACAGGACTATGTAAACCTGGTAGAGAGAACTTTGTATTGCTAAACTGCAATTGGTTTCAACAGTCCTTTTTGCTCATTCCTTTTTTATTCAGTTAAAAAACTGAATAAAACTGTAATTAGTGTAGAAGGTGAGTAATCCAACCTGGAAATTTCAGGGAAGACTCCCCAGGAAACTAGTACCTCAGTTTGAATGGTAACATTTAAAGTAGATGGGCTGGGAAGGTGGCTCAGTTCAGTGGTAGAGCGCTTGCCTTGCATGCATGGGGCCCTGGGTTCCATTCCTCAGCATCACATAACAGAAAAAGCCAGAAGTGGCACTGTGGCTCAAGTGGTAGAGTGCTAGCTTTGAGCTGAAGGGCTGAGGGACAGTGCCCAGGCTCAGAGTTCAGGCCCATGACTGACCAAAAAAAAAAAAAGATGGTCAGCCAAGAATGGGGAATGCATGCCATCAGGTAAACATATATAAACATTAAATTAGAGAGATAAGCATAAAGCACCATAGACACCCAAGGGAGGGAATAATACATTCAGAGAGAAGGTTTGTGGTCAGTAAATACTAGATGATGGAACTTTCAACTAGTGAACGCATAATGGATAGAATATTAGCATTACAAGCAATACTGTTTTCTTCAGTTGATATATTGGTCTCTCAGGTTCCTGAAATCTGTTTTATTTATTTATTTATTTATATTTTTTTTGTCAGTTGTGGGGCCTGAACTCTGGGCCTGGGTGCTGTCCCTCAGCTCTTCAGCTTAAAGTTGGAGCTCTACCACTTGAGCCACAGTGCCACTTCCGGACTTTTCTGCTTATGTAGTGCTGAGGAATAGAACCCAGGGCCTCATGCATGCGAGGCAAGCACTCTACTGCTGAACCACCTTCCCGGCCCTATTTTTTTGTATCCCTAAAATAACAATATAATTTAGCCCAACAGAAAAAAATAATCAAGCAAATTAAACAGGTGTTTTTACTTATTTTTGGTAGGGAGAGAGACTGGTGGAACCTCTTTGAAGGCAATTCGATCATATTCACGCAGTTTCAAGGAGCCCTGCTGAACCCTGAGGTACAGCATCACTTATAGAAGTAAGATGCAGGAGATGAATTATCCATTTTGCATGGTTCAGATAGACTACCTTAAAGTAGACTCTGGAAATAAGCTTTTAATTATGTTCCCTTGGAGACTCCCAGTGAAACACTGATAAGGATTGTCCCTTTGTTGTTTTGTTTTTTAATCTTTTTTTTTTTTTTTTTTTGCAAATTCTTTATTTGTGATTAAGTGATTACATAATTTCACAGTATTGTGGGACAGTGATACTTAGTTAAAGTCACAAACACATTCTAATCTTCATGGGGCAAATTGTTTATCGTAGCCTATAAAGGTTATGAATTCTGTGAGCTTTGACAATACAGTTATTTCTTTCACATTGGGTGATATGTACATTCCTTTCCTTTTGCTTAGTGTCAGCTGTTCCCTCTTTCCCACTCATTTCCTCCCTCCCATCGTTGCCATTGAGTTGCTTAGTTCATTTTGATCAATGGCCAGTGAAGCTGCTGGGTCCCACGGTTGTATGTTTTTCCCTGTTTCCCTCTAGTTCTGTGTCCTCCTCCCAGTTTCCCTCTGGTATGCACATATATACCATCTATGTGGTCAGCAGCATGGGGTTATTTAGTAATGATTCGAACAGATTAGTGGAAGTCCTTTGTTTCTCCAGTCTTGTTTACTTTGTTGTATCATGTTTTTGGATTTAACATCCACTTATCAGGGAGACCATGTGCTATTTGTCTCTTTGTTCTTGGCTTACCTCACTCAACATGATTTATTCTAGTTCCATCCATTTCTCTGCAAATGCCATTATTTTGTCCTTTCTAATGGCAGCATAATATTCCATTGTATATAGATACCACAATTTTTGGATCTGTTTTAGAAGGAGTAAGTTTTCAGATATTAGATACTGAGAAAAAAAATGACCAGAGTTCTATATGAGAACATTCATAATTTATTTTATAACCACAAAGAAGGTGTAGAAATGATTAAAGATTTACTTAACTATTTTTCTTTCACTCAGATGTAGTCCAAGTAGAGGTACAAAAGCAAAAGGATTCAGACTCAGAGATGGAAAAAATTGGTGATCTTCCTGCACGCTGAACTGAACCATCCACATCTTCAAAATAAAATAATCACTTTGGCATTCCATACTTTTGAGATTCAAAATTTTGGAAGCTATGGGCACTCTTTTTGTGTGTGTGCAGGTACTAGGACTTAAACTCAGTGTTTTGATGCACTCTTGTTTGACTTTTTCACTTAAGGCTGGTGCTTTACCATTTGATCCATGCCTCGAGTTCGGGCTTTTTGGTGGTTAATTGGCTGGCTTTGAAAGGGATCCGCAATAGCTAGGATTATAGGTGAGAATCACCACTGCAAGGCTTGCAACTTGCTTTTAAAGGGGACTTTTGCTTAGGCAGAGTTCTTAGGATTTTGAAAATTTTGGGCTGAAGTTGAGAAAAGTTGGTGCTTGGGTCTGGGTATTTATTACTACAGTCCCGGAGGCTCCACTGGAAACAGACAGAAAACAAGTTCCCTTTCAAAGGGCAAGAAAGTTTCCCGAATGTCGGGTCCTGAAAAGCCCAGCCTTCTCTTCCCCCTCAAGCTATCTTATCTACAAGCCAGATTAGGTCGAGTGCCAGAGAAGATTGGAGTCGTGCCGGAGGTTACTCTTTTGGGTTGAGTTGGGATCTGGCGTGGCTCAAATTCCCAGGGTTTAGATCTGCCGGCTCTCAAAAGAAGTCTTCCAGTTCGCTTTTCCCTGGAGCCCTTATTGGTCTTCCTGGAAGTTCCAGCTTTTTCCTTTAAGTTCGTTCTACGTTTGTCACTCATTTGCTCACAGCCAATCAGCACGTATAGAAAAGGGGCGGGCCCTTAGGTCAGGCGAGCCAATCACTGACCCCAGGTACCAACGGCTCTCAAGGCAGTCAATCCGGAGCTCGCTTTCTCAAGATGGCGGCTGCTAAGGAAGGTGCTGCCGTTGAAGAAGTGGCGTCGGGGACCGGGCGGCGGCTTCACTTGGGGATTCCTGAAGCAGTGTTTGTGGTAAGTGTTGCGTTGTTTCCTGGTATCTTGGCTCCAGGTCGAGGAACGCCTAGCGAACCTCACCCCAGTATGGACTACTGGGAGTCGGGGCTGAGGTAAAGGTTCCGGTAGGGAGCGGTCGGTCCGCTTCCCTCCGGTCCCTCAGCTTCCGTCTGTGGGCGGAGTGGGCTTCTCTGGGTATGGCCTTGAAGAAACGCATTTTGAAAGGGTTTTAGAAGTGATGACCCGCGGAGGGAGGGTTCCGGAGCGCAGGCCGGCGGGGCGTCCCGCCCCAACGCTGCTGGTCTCACCACTTCCCAGAGGTCCCCAGCTAGAGAGGCTTTGAGGAGCTGGCGACTCAGCCCAGATGCTGGAGAGATACACGTCGCCACCTCGAGCACTTTGAGTAAGCCGAGCAGCTGGTGGCAAGGCGTGAATGCCGAATGGCCCCTGGTCGGTCAGCTTGAGGAATGCAGTGGTCTGTTTCCTGGGAAGTGGAAAGCGACTGAGGGAAAACCCGCTGCTTGGGGTGAGCGTGAAGTGGTGTGTGGCTAGGAAGGGTGCGAGATTCTGCCGTCAGCAGAACAAGGTGTCACCGTGCAACCACACTTGGTTTTAGGAGCATCGTTCTAACAATTTAGTTGAGAATGACTTGTATGCATTTGAGAGAGGAGGTAGGGGATTCAGTTCAGAGGTTTTATCCAACAGGGAGAGCAATCCAAGTTCAGAGAGAACCAAGTAGAACCGATCAGCCCCAGCTTTTCATGAAGCTATTCTTTTTTTTTTTTAATTAAGTTTTTTTTATTGTGAAAATACTGTATAGAGGGGTTACAGTTACATGAACAAGATAATGAATACATTTCTTATCCAATATTCTCGAAAAAACACTTGAATAATGGGCCAAAACTTCTGTTATGGCTTTCCAGGTCATCATCGTTTGTCTTTCCTCATTTAATTGTATTGAGCTACTGTAAAATGTTAATGTAGTTTTGAGCCAAAAGGTATATCCTGCTTTTTGTTACGTACTTCATCCTTCAAAAGGTCATGTTTTTTTGACTGTACATTACATTATATATCTGCATTTGATAGTTGGACTTTGTGATTATTTTCCTTATTTTTTGTTTTCTCTCAGACCTACTCCATTTCTATCACGAAAGTGATATTTTTTTACAGAAATGAAATTTTCAATAATTCAGAGTTTTTTTCTAATTTAAGAGTTTTACAAAACTCTACGACGCAATTGTACTGTCATTCTCATTTTACTGATGATAATACGAAAAAAAACAGAGCCCTTGAGCAATTTCTCTGTGATCAGGATATACTTGAGATATCCAGAATTTGAACTTGGGCTTTCTGTAGGGCTCCAAATCTGTACTCTTGCTCTGCTACTTGGAAGAAAGTGAGGTAATACTCAGAACTTTGTGCTATTTCTCCTGGTCCTAGCACAGTGCCTGATAGATAAGTGCATAATTGATTTCTGTAGTGCCTCAAATACAACATCCATACATGAATACTATGAAATCTAATTCAGAAAGATGAATTTGGTACATATGGCTTCATAAAGTCTTAAAAATACATTTTCCCCTAAATTTTGTGGGTTCTTTCTAAACTTTAAACTTTCTACCAACAATGTAATAAACAACCCAGTTTTCCATAATTAGTTTTATGTTTCCAAAATAATGAGTCACATTATATTGTAGAAAGATTCTAAGTAGTTGAATGTATAAAACCTGCTTTCCAATTCCTGCTTACCCATGACTTTGATTTCAGCCTGTTTTTTTCTAAGTAGACATGACTACTTACAGAGCTGTCATAAGAAACAAAACATGCTTTCAATATGGCCAATATAGTAGGCACTTAGTAAGTGCTAGTTTCTGCAATAATAGGAGGTAGTGTTCTAGTCAGACATGATATTTTTTCCATCCCCATAGGTTCAGTAATCTTTTCTTCTTTTTCTGTTTCTATTGTTTTTTTCAGCCTTGTCTGTTGTCCTCTTAGTTTTGAACAACTGGTTCAGATATTACTCCTGTAATTTTTCCTGACCTTTACCAGAGAACAAAATTCTTGGTACTTTCATCCCCACATCACATTGTTAATGTCTGTTGAACACTTAATAGGTGTTACACATTTTTCTAAGCACCTTATACATACTAACTTACATAATCTCCTGTGAGGAAAGGTACATTTATTTCAAGACAAGGAAATTGAGGCAAGGAGAGATTAATAACTTTCCTCAAGTCTATGTAGTGAAGCTAGTGTTGAAATTTGGCAGATCTTGTCTTTTTAGCAACATCCTGTGCTGCTGTGATTAATTCTCATTGGACTTCCTTCTTGACAACCTGTACCATGTACCAAAAACTGAGTTAATTTTCATTCTTGCATTGATCTTTTTCTGAAGGTGATTATCTTTTCACACAGACTGCAGTAATTGACTCAGCCTTACCTTTACAATTTGTTCCTTAAAAAAAAAAAAAAAAAAAGACAGGTCTCACTATGTAACTCAGGCTGGCCTGCTCACAGTTGTCTTGCTCCAGCCTCCCAAGTGCTAGGATTACAATGTCACTACAGTTGGCCAGTGTTACTGCTTTTCTTCTGCTTGTTTTAAAAGATGATTGTATTGGGTTTTTTGGATTGACTTTATTTCAGTTACTGGAAATATTTGTTGTTTGTGTTGGGAACCTAGGGGCCATATAGAAGAGGTGAGGAACTTTTTATCTGCTAAGGGCCATTTGGATATTTATACCATCGTTCATGGGCCATACAAAATTATCAGTACAGGTAGATTGCTTAGGAAGCCAAGAAAAATAGCCTGTCCAGTTATATACTAGATGATTTTTGCTAGCTTTATACAATCCATGGGCCCCAGTGTTTCCCACCTATTTTCTATGGGAGAATTTGTTAAATTTTAAAGTTTAGTTATGAAGCCAGGAGCCAGTGGCTTACGCCTGTAATCCCAGCTACTCAGTAGGTTGAGTTCTGAGAATCGTGGTTCAAAGCCACCCCCAGGCAGGAAAGTCTTTGAGACTCCCAGAAAACTGGAAATGGTGCTGTGCTTCAAGTGCTCAGGGGCAGCTCCCAAGCCCACAGTTCAAGCCCCAGGACTGACAAAAAAAAGTTTAGTAGTGAAGCTAATAGCTTTGGCAGCTTGTTGAATTGTTCTGTTTTTTTTTTTTTGGGGGGGAGGGGGGGTCGGTTGTGGGGCCTGAACTCTGGGCCTGGGCGCTGTCCCTCAGCTCTTCAGCTCAAGGCTAGCGCTCTACCACTTGAGCCACAGCGCCACTTCCGGCTTTTTTCTTTTTGCTTATGTGGTGCTGAGGAATCGACCCAGGGCCTCATGCATGCAAGACAAGCACTCTACCGCTGAGCCACCTTCCCAGCCCCTTCTTAAATTGTTCTATGACTAGGGCATATGAATAGGCAATGGGCTTGATTCTGGTAATTTTCATATTTACTACTGGGACCACATAGGGAATAGAGAAACCATTTATAGTAAAGTAAGAGGAAAATTAAAGACTAAATTAGTTATATAACATATGTGTACTGTCTGAAATGATCTCTAACTTTTTAAATGATTTTTTTTAGTTAAAAAAATCTACCTTTTTTTGGTGTGTACTGGTCCTGGGGCTTGAAATCAAGTCCTCGGGCACTGTCCCTGAGCTTTTGTGCTTAAGGCTAGCACTCTGCTTGAGCCACCACACCACTTTTGGCTTGAACATAAGAGTCTCACAGACTTTCCTACTAGGCTGACTGTAAACCATGATCCTGGGATCTTAGCCCCCTGAGTAGCTAGGATTACAGGCATGTGCCACTGGTACCTGGTTTGGCATTTTCCTTTAGATTTTAAAATCAAAATAATAAAAAAGATCAGAGTAGTGGTATGAATTTTAAACTTTGTAATGTATTATTTATTTTTGATTATTAAGGAAGATGTAGATTCCTTCATGAAACAGCCTGGCAATGAGACTGCAGATACAGTACTGAAGAAGCTGGATGAACAATATCAGAAGTATAAATTTATGGAACTCAACCTTGCTCAAAAGAAAAGGAGGTAAATAAAAATTTCTTAAGTTTTTTTTTTTTAAATGGCTTAAACATTTTTTAAAACAAGATATAATTTACATATACGAAAAGTGTCCCTGTGTCAGGTACTAAGTTTTATGAATTTTGAAGAAGATATCTAAGTCTGTCCAGAATTGGTTCCTGCTGGGATCTGTATATTCTATCATCCCAGGAACTCCCCTTGTGTTACTTTCCAGTCACAAAAACAAAAGATAGCTGTTTTGTTTCACTATAAATTGGTTCTGTCTGTTCTTGAACTTGATAAAAATGGAAGCACATAGTAACTTCTGTTTTGTCACATTCTTTGTGGGTGGCCTATGGTATCATGTCAGTAAATTAGTTTTTTATTTTTATTATAATTAATGCATATTAGTTATAAACATTAATGGTTTCACAGTGTTATATCCATATATGCAGATATGCAGATATTGTGCTTTCTTTCTATTTTCTTTAGTCATCTTTTGGTGGACACCTAGACTTATTACCTACCTTGGTTACTATGAATAGTACAACAGTGAACATGGGTATGCTGACTTACTTTTCTTTTGGTATATACTAAGCAGTGAATTATGTGGTAGTTCTGTTTTGAGTTTTTTGAAGATGCTCTATTGTTTCTGTATTAAGATTTAATATACTCATTTACATTCCTACCAGTAGTGCATAAGGGGTCTTATATCTCCACATTCTTGGCAATAGTGCTTTTTTTTTTTTCTTTCTTTTTTTTTGTACATTAATAGTACAAGGCGGTTTCATAGTTGTTTTTTTTTTACAGTAGCCATTCTGACTGCAATAAGAATCTGTTGTTTAGATTTGCATTTCCTTGATGGCTATGGATGTTGAGTATCTTCTTGAATTTGTTGGCCATTTGTACTACTTTTTTTTTTTTCAAATTCTTTATTATGATTAAGTGATAACATACTTTCCCAAATTTCACAGTACTGTGGGATAGTGATGCTTAAGTTAAAGTCACAAACACAAATTGTCTATCGTGGTCTATAACACTTATGACCTCTATGAGTTTTTTGTACTACTTTTGATAGATGTCTGTTCATACAGTTGGTCCACTTATTGATTGACTAACTTGTTTGGTCTAATAGTTTGAATTCTTTCTGTATAATCTGGATAGTAATCCCTTGTCTGATGAATAGCTGACAAAGATATTTTTCTGTAGATTGTCTATTATTTCATTTGCTCTGCACATTCTTTTAGATTAAAAATTAACTTATTTATTTGGGTAGTATTGGGCTTTAAACTAAGGCCTTGCATTTTTTATTTTTGTGCCAATCTTAAGCTTGAACTCAAGGCCTGAGCACTAAAGTAATTAATATAGCCAAGTTAACATTAACATTTCAACATTCTGCCAGTACATGAATTTAGGGGGTGAAAGTCCTTCCATTTTCTATAGTTTTCTTCAATTTCTTTCTTTAATGTTTTATAGTTTTTATTACAGAAGTCTTGAACCTCTTTGACTTGCCTTTTTTCCTAGTTTTCTTTCTTTCTTTTTTGTTTGGTCACGGGGCTTGAACTCTGGGCTTGGGCGCTGTTCCTGCGCCCTTCAGCTCAAGGCAAGTGCTCTACCGCTTGAGCCATAGTGCCACTTCCGGTTTTCTAGTGGTTTATTGGAGATAAGAGTCTCACAGATATTTCTGCCCAGTCTGGCTTTGAACTGCGATCCTCAGATCTCAGCCTCCTGAGTAGCTAGGATTACAAACGTGAGCCACCGGCGCCCGGCTCTAGTTTTATTTCCTTATGGTTACTGTGAACCGGACTGTTTACATGATTTATTTGAGTGAGTTCATTATTTTATAGAAAAGCTATGGATTATTGTATGTTGATTTTTGTATCTTGCTACTTGACTAAATTTATCATTTCTAAGTCTTTGGTTGAGAGTATTTAGAATTTTCTAGGTATAAACTCATATAACCTTCAAAAAGGAATAATTGGATTTCTTTTCTATTTGAATCCCTTTCTTTTTTCCCTCTCCTCGCCTTCCCTCCTTATTTCTTTCTCTTAGATAGTTGCTCTTATTCAAGTATTATATTGAGTAAAAACAATGAGAATAGGAACATTTGTCTTGTTCCTGATTTTAGAAGAAATCACAAGAAACATTTCTTGTGATGTTGGCTATGACTTTGTTGTATATAGCCTTACCTACTTTCTTTAAAACTTTTATTGTGAAGACATACTGAATTTTTTTTGAGACAGGGTCTTACTATGTAACCTAAGCGGGGCTCCAAGTTGGGATCCTCCTGCCTCAGCTTTCTGGTGTTGAACTTACAGGTGTGTATCAGCAGTATGTTGTTTTATTAAAGGCTATTTTTGTATCTTTTGAGATGCGTCTGTGTGCGTGTGTGTGTGTGTGTGTGTGTGTGTGTGTGTGTGTGTGTGTGTGTGTGTGTGTGTGTGTGTGTGTGTGTGTGTGTGTGTGTGTGTGTGTGTGTGTGTGTGTGTGTGTGTGTGTGTGTGTGTGTGTGTGTGTGTCTTTCTTTACCAGGAGGTAAATTTCTTGGAAAAAGCAAGTTGTTGAGCCATTTATTCTGGTGTGGAACTCTGTGTAGCCCAGGTTGGCCTCAAACTCAAAATTTTCCCGTTTCAGCCTCTATTTTGTTTCATGAGTCTGTTTTATTTATTTTGTTATAGCTAAGTTTATTAGACTATCATTTCTTTTCTCTATCTGCTCATATTCCCTCAGGGATGTTACCTACTTTGACCGATAATCTATGTGGAGGCAGGGATAATTTAAGTTCTTCCTAGTGGGTAGGAGTGGAGAAATGTTGCTGGTGTTATAGTCTAGGATACAGCAATCAAACAGATACTCTTACTTGGGGGATTATTTCCTCTACTCTTGACTGTCTTTACTGTCATCAGGTAGTGGGGTAAACAAAGTGATTGTTGGCGGTACTTTTTATTCTCACTTCACAACTCAGCCCTCTCCCCCAACTCTGGCCATTTTTGTCTCTCTCTTTTTTTGTTTTTACCTTGTAGCAGTCATTTTGGTAGATAGTGATTCATCTAAGGCAATTCAGAGGACAGGCAGATGATTTTATATATTTTTTTCACAATATGACAAAAGTATATACTGAGAAAATGTCATTATGGTTTACCTGACATTTGGCTATGTTTGTGCACTCACCAGGAGGAGGTTTACACAGCATTGGATAGAGAACAGTGGTTTCAAATTAAGACTATGTTTGAATATCCATTATTTTTGACATTAGAAACTAGAAAATGCAAAGCTAATAGTGTATTTTTAGCTGCAAAATACTAAGTTATCCTTTATTCTTGTCCACAGACTGAAAAGTCAGATTCCTGAAATTAAGCAGACTTTAGAAATTCTAAAATACATGCAGAAGAAAAAAGTAAGTTACATTTTTGTTTGTAAAAATGAGCGAACCAGGATGCTTTGGCTGCAGCCTGTCTTTCTTGGTTACTGGTATTTAATTCCACTATAGGATCTAGTCTGCTTCTCTATAACTATTATGGATAGTATGCTTTTGTGAAATGTGGTTTTGTGGCCTTTCCCTAAATGCCCAGTTTAATTTTAAGGCTCATAATTGGCTTATTTTCTGTGTAGTGTTAGCAGAACTCAGATGTAATTAGAAATTGTTTTAGGTATAAAAAGAAAATGGTTTTTTTTTTTTTTTTTTTGGTCATCTTCACTAAGAAGATCTATACAGCTAGAAAAAAATCTTTGTGATTACCCTTTTCAGGTTCTCAATTCATAATTTAGTTTTGTGACCAGTGTCACGTTAACTGATTACATTTAGGTCTAAATTTGAGTCTCCTATGTCTTAGTCCAGTGTTAGTCTAGTATTCATTAAATAAAAATGGGCTATAAAGATTAAATTTCATAAGCATATTAAAAAGATTGTGTACACATAGGATTTATTATTGTACTGGAAGGATATTTTTTACACGTCTACTGTAACATGTGGTGAACTTTTAAGAAAGTTCAGAAACTGGGCATATGAAGCATTATGTAAATATATAATAATTATATAATAAATAAAATAACTACTTTGTATATAGCACTTATGTAATATGTATCTAACACTCTGAATACCAAGTTGTATAGGTATGTGTGTGTATACACTTAGTACTTAATACCCCCCCCCCATTTTTTAAATAGATGTAGGAACTACTGTTTTATAGACATAGATTGAGATGCCAAATTTACACAGTAAGTAGTTGAGCCAGACTCCATGGCTAGACATCTGGCACTGGTGGTAGTAGTAGTAGTTTATTTGTTTTGGCTTTTTGTCGCTCATGGGGCTTGCACTCAGGGCCTGGATGCTGTCCCTAAGCTGTTTTCCTCAAGGTTAGCACTCTACTACTTTGAGCCATAGCACCACTTCCGGTTTTCTGGTAGTTAATTGGAGATAAGAGTCTCATGGACTTTACTGCCCCAGCTGGCTTTGTACTGCAATTCTTAGTCTCCTGAGTAGCTAGGATTATAGGCCATAGCCACCAGCACCTGGCCTTGTTTTTACAACTCTACTTAGTTTGCATTATGGTATAGTTTTAAATCCTTAGCATTCTGCCATGGAATCTCTCTTTTATAACCCTGATATCAATCTGTCCTGTTTATGGTTCTGTCATTTTTTTTTAAAGGAGTCCCCCGATTCAATGGAGACCAGATTTTTATTGGCAGATAACCTGTACTGCAAAGCTTCGGTTCCTCCTACTGATAAAGTGTGTCTGTGGTTGGGGGTAAGTATATATAGCCATGGCTGACATACTTGTAAACCAGTGCATTTTGTGTAGCAAAATAGTAGTACTTGAGATGTATAAAATGTCCATCTTTTGACTGTCAAAGGAATGCAGGGTTAGAATTAAAGTGGTCTATGTTAGAAACTGACTGGATTTAGAAATATAATGAAGATAGCACCCAAAAAACATGTTTCTAACATCCCTATCATGATAAAAACGATCCAACCTTCTCCAACTAATGTTTTATCTCACTAGTTTTATAACAGAAGGAAAGGAATAGAAATAGAAAATACTGCTGAATTTTTGATTAATAGATGTTTCCTCCCTATAAGAGTTTAATAGCTCTGGAAAAGTCCCTCTAGAAGAAAAGAGGAAAAGATGATTATGAAGACCTTTAGGTTAGAGTCCATTTAAAAAATATTCACTTAAGGAGGAGGCTACAGTGCTTGATAAGAAATGTACTCATTATCTTGCCCATGTAATTGTAACCCCTATGTACAGTATTTTCACAATAAAAAAAATACTCACTTTTAGATGATTTCATGGATCTTGTCTACTATTTTATCTCATTCCTCCATCCCAGCTAGCTTTCTGTGGGTCTTATTACCTTAGGCAAGTTCTGATACGAAGTAGTAAACCATTTGTACTGCTTTCTAGCTTTCTCCCACTGGGAGGATTTTCCCTTGCTACTGTCCTATAGCATCACTCCTAAGAAGTGATATGCTGATTAGCACCAGGAAATTCCCTTCTCTATCCTTTTTTTAGCAGTGAAGATTTCAACTTATACAACACATTCACTTTGTTGTTGTTGTTATTGGCCATGGGCTTGAATTAGGGCCTGGGCACTGTCCCTGAGCTCTTTTCCCTCAAAGCTAGACTACTACTTTGAGCCATACCATCATTTCCAGTTTTCCAGTGGTTAATTGGAGATAAAGAGTCTTAGGGCCTTCCTTGCCTGGGCTGGCTTTGAACCATGATCCTCAGATCTCAGCCTCTTGAGTAGTTGGGATTACAGGCATGAGCCACCAGCACCCAACTAACATTTACATTTTATTCTAACCATCTCATGCCGGTTTGGATTCAGTGTTCATTACTATGCTTTTTTTTCTCCAGCATATTCTATCTTATGTTTGAGTTAACATACATTTATAGTAGGAGGTTTCATTGTAGCATATATACAGTGCTCTTTGAACACTAAGGCTTTAATTCAGTTTAAACATTACCAGAATATTGACCAGTTTTATTTTTGGGGGGTTTTTTTTGGGTAGAAATTGCATGACCATTATTTATATATATATATATATATATATATATATATATATTGTAATGATACTATACAGAGGGGTTGCAGTTACATGAGTAAGGTAATGAGTACATTTCCTATCGGGCATTGTTACCCCCTCCTTTGTTTTTCCCCTACCATCCCCACTTTCCCAACTCCCCCTCTCCCCACATGACCTTTTAGTTTACAGATTCAAATATTTATTTCCAGAAAGCTGATTATGTGTGTGTGTGTTTCAGTATGAATGCCATTTTGGTCAAATTTTGTCTATTATCTTTTTTTTTTTGTCATGGGGCTTGAACTCTGGGCCTGGGGCGCTGTCCCTCAGCTCTTCAGCTCAAGGCTAGTGCACTTGAGTCACAGCACCACTTCTGGCTTTTTCTGTTTATGTAGTACTGAGGAATTGAATCCAGGGTTTCAAGCATGTTAGGAAAGCACTCTCCACATTCCCATCCCTTGTTTCATTTTGTCTATTACTTTTTGGCAGAAATACACAGGCATATGTTGAATCTTCTCTGTTTTCAGTATCTTATCATGTCCACCATTTTCAAATATTTGGTCTTTTTCATTTTGTGTGATTTCCTCTGGACTATTCTTCATTTCTTTATGATTTACCTTTTTAGTTATTCTGTTTTTTTCTGCTATGTTTTTTTTATAACTGTTTATTTTCTTTGCTGAATTCTTTCAGCTGTCTTCATCTTTTTTTTGTTTTATACTTCTTATTTCAATATTTGATCCAAATTTCTCCTATAGACTAGCAGCTCACACAATTTTATCCATCTTAGTAAAAGTTTCACCTAGTTGCTAAGACCAAAAACCTCTGAGTCCTCATTGATACTTCTCTTTCTTATAGCTCTCAGTTAGTCCATTAGCTAATATCTTCTGAAGATATTGAGGAACTAAGTTTCTCACTTTCTTGCTGCTACAACCCTAATCCAAGCCATCTTTGTGGCCAAGACTGTGCGTTAATGTCTATGTTAGCTTGGCATAGTTGCTGTGATAAAATGCTCCAAACTGTATGGCTTTAACAACAGAAATTGTTTGTCCTACATTCCTGGAACTCAGAAGTCTTGAGATCAACCCTGGAATGAGTTAGATCTTTCTGAGGGCTATGAGGGAAAATTTATTCTGGTCTTTTCGCTTAGCTTATGGTGTTCGTGCACAGTCCTTGGGCATTTCTTGGTGTGTAGAAATTACACTTAACTCTGCTATCATCCACATGTATGTGTATATATTTATAAAATTTCCCTTTTCTGTAAGAACATCAGCCACGTTGGATTAAAACCTTACCCTAACAACCTCATTTTGACTTGGTTGTCTTTGTAGAGACTGTATGTCTAAATGGGTTTACGTTCTGAGGTACTGAAAGCTAGCCTTTCACCTTTTGTTGTACATGAGGAAGATATAGTTCAGTCTATAGTACTTTTTTCCACATAAGGTCATTTTCATAGGTAACAGGAGTTAAGGCTTCAATATATCTTTAGGGGGACAGTTTAAGATCATGTTACATCCCTCCTCAGGACTCCATCAATTTCCCTTGTCAAAAGGTAGTTGTACTTCCTCTTTGGCACTATCTGATTTTTTATTGACAGATACTTCCTTTGTATTCACCTCCTCACTTTTGCTGATTTATTATTGGGTACTAGGTTTGTATCATAATTTTCCTGTTTTCTGTATGCATGTTTAAATACGTACCAAGATTTCAGAAAACTACAAAAAATGGATTGTAAATTAATAGCTCAATTATCACTTAGGTTCAACTGAGAAACAACCAGTAGACTGTAGCTGGCCTACATTACTTTGTATATGAAATTATATACAAATGTGTAAATCGATATGTATATTTGTGTGTGGTAACTCATGAAGTCATACCATTTCCAATTTAAATTTAGGACAACAGAGTTTTAACTTGTTGCTCTGTTTCTACTTTTTTTCTAACCAAGAATTCTGGTTTTCAGAATACCAAGAGTGATAAAATTAGACTGGACAACGTTACTCATTTGCTTTACTTCTTATTACACATAAAATGTTCTTAGAACAATATCACCCATCACTGTATCCACCAACATTTTTTATATGCTTTCCCTGTCTTTTCCATTCTTTACAAAGTTTGGCCGATACTGTTGGGATACAAAGCGACACAAAGCCACTGTGTGTGCATTTTCTTTCTCTCTCACATACACTTTATTCTCTCTTTTTTTTTACAAATTCTTTGTGATTAAGTGATTACATAATTTCACAAGTTTCACAGTATTGTGGGATATTGATGCTTAGTCACAAACATAGGGCTGGGAAGGTGGCTCAGTGGTAGAGTGCTTGCCTTGCATGCCTGAGGCCCTGGGTTCAATTCCTCAGCACCACATAAGCAAAAAGTAAAAAAGCCGGAAGTGGCGCTGTGGCTCAAGTGGTAGAGCGCTAGCCTTGAGCTGAAGAGCTGAGGGACAGTGCCCAGGCCCAGAGTTCAGGCCCCACGACCGGACCCCCCCCCCCCCAAAAAAAAAAAAAGGTCACAAACACATTCTAACTTTCATGGGGGCAAATTGTTTATCATGGCCTATAAAGTTTATGAGTTCTGTGAGCTTTGACAATACAGTTATTTCTTTCACATTGGGTGATACGTATATTCCTTTCCTTTTGCATAGCGTCAGCTGTTCCCTCTTTCCCACTCATTCCCTCTCTCCCATTGCTGCCATTGAGTTGCTTAGTTCATTTTGATCAATGGCCAGTGAAGCTGCTGGGTCTCACTGTTGTATGTTTTTCCCTGTTTCCCTCTAGTTCTGTGTCCTCCTCCCAGTTTCCCTCTGGTATGCACATATATACCATCTATGTGGTCAGCAGCATGGGGTTATTTAGTAATGATTCAACCAGATGAGTGGAAGTCCTTTGTTTCTCCAGTCTTGTTTACTTTGTTGTATCACCTTACGTTTTGGATTTAACATCCACTTATCAGGGAGACTATGTGCCGTTTGTCTCTTTGCTCTTGGCTTACCCTTCACTCAACATGATTTATTCTAGTTCTATCCATTTCCCTGCAAATGCCATTATTTTGTCCTTTCTAATGGCTGCATAATATTCCATTGACATACACTTTATTCTTGTGTGTGTGTGTGTGTGTGTGTGTATGTATGTGTGAGAAAGAGAGAGGGAGAGAGAGAGAGAGGGAGAGAGAGAGGGGGGGGAGTGAGTGCATGTGTGTGTACACATGCATTTCAATCCTGGGGCTTGGACTCAGATCTCAGTTCTTTCCCTGAGTTTCTTCTGTGCTCAAGGCTAGTGGCTCTTCCACTTGAGCCACAGTTCCACTTGTGGTTTTTTTGGTGGTTAATTGGAAATGAGAATCTCGTGGACTTTCCTGCCTGGATTGGCTTTGAACTGCAGTCCTCAGATCTCAGTCTCCTGAGTAGCTAGGATTACAGGTGTGAGCCATTGTCACCTAGCTCACACTTCATTCTTATTTTCTGTGTAAATAGGTACTGAATGCACATCACTGTCTTTTTGTTTTGATGATCTGATAATCTCTAGCAGCTCTTTTAGGATTTATAGGAACAATATTCCCTGAATTCTGGAATGTTGACACCTTGTCTATTGGATATAAAATCCTAACTTACATTTTATTTCCTTCAGTACTTTATATATTGCTCTCTTTTCTTTTGTCACAAAACATTACTGTCAAAAAGCCTGAAGAACTGATTTTTCTCCCCTTTATAAGTGACTTGTT